AAAAATTATATAAATATTACATTATTAAATATATTGCACTTTAGTTAAAATAAAAATGCTATGACAGAAGTTTGCACATTATCGCTATATAATAGCTATTTTCAAAGAAACTTTAACACGAATCGACGCATTAACTAACTTACCATATTTGCAATGAAAAAAATTAAAACTTTGTAACTTCAATTGACATCAAGCTTATATTGAATGGATTAACATAATTAGTTGAATTGATTAGTTACGCAGTTAAGAAAAATGACAAAAAAATGTTATATCTTTTGTACAGTATAATAATTAAACAGTCACATAATATCTTGACAAACATCTAGCATTACAGTAATTTATCAAAATAATAAAATATAATGCACGAAAAATTGTAAACTATTACGATGTGAATCTGATATAAAGATAATAACCTAAAATATTATTTAGGATTCTGATATATAAATAAGAAAAGGGAGCAAATACATACTTGACACAGAATATCAAGCAAATTATAATTATTGTTGCGAATATAGATATATTAAATTTATGAATATATTAAATTTATAATATATTAAATTTATGAAGTGTAACAAATGTATTTTACAGTTCATTATTTTAAGAACCAATATAAATTATTGAAAGTAATAGTGTTCCATAAATTTGAAGTAGTTTGGATAGATTTATATATACATTTTATTATATATATATATTTATTTACTAAATTGTACATAAATATTCATGTATAATATATATAAAGAAACATTATACGATGAATGTCATCATTATTCTATGAATGGTAAAATATACATAAGTAATATTATTTGAATATATATTTATATATAATATGTACTACCAGTACTACCAACACAGTCCTAGCCTTGCACTCCCTGACGACGTTCTACATATTATGGTCATCTATTAAATGACAAGCAATTCTCATAACGATCGGCAACAACAACAACCTTACAAACCTAACAAAACCTTAAATAAAGGACACTAAAAACCAATTGCATTTACATTGAATTGATTCATTAATCACTCATCCCCCCTCTACTGCCAATAAACCGGGTATCTAATCCATCCACCTTGATCTGCGACCATATTGGTGGCTGGAATTCCAAACACTTACTCATTAATTAAAGATAAAAAAAACAATGTCTTATACTAGCCTAATTCGATAACATATTTTTTGTCTTAGAGATAAAGTTCTATATATTTCTAAAAAATTCGATTTATATATATATTGATTTATTTATTAATAAATATCATTTGAAATTATGGTAGATAATTCACAATATTTTTACTCATATTTTTAAACTTGCAATAAACTTTATTTAAAATATTTGAGTGAATATCAATTTATATTTACAATTACAATGACAATACAGTTATTATATTTATTCTTTGCCGAATTATAAATACACATAAAAAAAAATTGAATTGTAGTTCTATTTAGTGCAGAAATTCATTAATTAAAAAGAATTTAAAATAAACTACGTAAAATAGGCGTTGGCATCTTACATGGTTGTGCAGTTTATTAATTTTACTTGAATATAAAATTTTTATAATAAGATTTAATATAAATGAATAATATTGTTTTTAAAATTTAAATTATTTATATATACATACTTTATATATATTCTAATTATAATACCTATTGTAATATTATAAGCCTGATACATTAATAAATATTATAAATCTAATAAACAAATAAATAATACCACTTAGTAATAAACTTCGGTAATTCATATATATATATGTTCGATTTTAAAGGTTTAGTTTATGGCTCCAACTACCAATTCAATAGTTCAGTAGATTAGTCTCTCGTCAGGATAACTTTAAAGGAAATAATAAGTGAAAGGACTGAAAAATATTATGTATTTTAGCAAAACAAGGTTTATTATTTGTTAATAATTATAATAATATTGCAATGTTGTGGAGAGATAAGATTATTCTATTGTAGTAATGTGGGTGTTTCCTTGCTTTCTTGATTATCGTAGATTCTATGGATATGACTGAGTATTTGAAGTTGAGGTAATGCTGATGTTGTAAATATCAGCTGGTGTAGTTAATCAATCATGCTTGTGAGGTAGCATGAGAAGATGGTGTTTGAATCAAGTATGCTTGATGTATGGATAACTATACTTGATATGGTGTAAAATGTTTAATGGAATTTATTGAGTAATCAATTGTGTCTTTAATTATTTATGGGGGCAGTAGAAGACTCTAGTCGCAGTTAAGAGTGGTTAAAGATAAGATTTCTAACTCTTGAAGTATTTAATAATCTGTACTTATAGTATATTAGTCGATCTGTTGTTGTCCTTCTTTGACAACGTGCTTAAAGCATAGCGACACTTGTGTCAACTGTTCAGGGCTTGTACGATGTCGAAGTGTTAGTTCGAGAGAGCGTAAGTGTGCCCTATTTCTGCTAGCGGGCCTGTACGGTTTCGAAGTGTTAATTGGAAAGATCGTAAGTTTGCCCTATCGACTCTTATGCGCCTGTACGGTTTCGAAGTGTTAGTTCGAAAGAGCGTAAGTTTGCCCGACTTATTTTTGTGCGAGGTGTGACTAATTTATTAATATAAAAAGATGTACCTTGTGAGCTGCAGGCAAGGTGTATTAGTTGCTGTGTAATTAATCTCCCCTTTGATACTATTCCAATTGGCTTCACTGTAATCAGCACTAAATCTGCCGATTTTCCTTATAATGCACACGTGTATGGTTAACTTGAATACTGAATATATGGCCACGTGTTGTCTTCACAGTATACTGAAACACTGAGCGGCAGTTATATTCAATTGACCGAGAAGTAAGATTACAATGAGCGTATGAGCCTTTTGAATACGCGCACGAACCGAAGGCTAGATCATTCCGTGGCGGCTCTGCTGAAAATACCGACCGTTCTATGGTGGTCTTGCTCAGGGCAGATTGAAACCCGTTTGCCATGGCTTCTACTGGTAGATGATTAAATCGGTTCACTATGGTCGGTCACTGCGATTGAGTCACGGCAAGATTTTAGCCGCAAGCGCGGTTGAACTATGGAAGTTCGGCAAGAGAGCCGTTCAGTAAGCAAGAGGCTTTCAGCGAGAGAGATCTTCAGCGAGAGAGCGAGGCGCCCCGCGTGCTTGCCTTATATATCCACGCGGCGGCTCACTTAGCTGACAACAAGGCATCGTCATTGTTGCACTAATTCTTACACGAGGCGTAGAAAGAAAAATCTAGACCCTTCGAGAATTCGACGAGAGAAAAGTAGGCGTAATACCTTTGTGTGATCTTATAGTATATTAGATTTCATGTCGTAAAACTTGCTCAGACTTGCCGAGTTTTGTTTATAAACATTCGCCCGAATGCGCGTCCCGGTCCGAGCGTGCGTGTCGTGCGCTGTATAGCGTGTATGACCCACTTTTTCTTAAATTCGTGGAAAACGCGTCAATCTCGAACAATATATATATATATAATTCGTAAAATATATCTAGTTTTCTATCAATTTCGTTCTATTTTCTTATTTAATATTTATGGTTAATCAGAATTATATCTATTCTTCTAAAACTTGACATACTTGATTGATCGTAGTAATTTTTAAATTGCCGTAATTCATGTGTTAAAATTTATAATCAGTTTATAATTTTATTCTTTTAATTTGACTAAATGAATTTTAATTTGTGTTAAGTTGAGTTAATGTGTGTTATGTGAAAATAAACAGTTTATTAGTGTTCGGGATTGAGGCAGCTTAATTTAAATTTAAAATTGTGAAAGTTACAAACGCTTATTTGTAAACACGATACAGTGATTCCAGGAATTTTCCTACACCGTAACATCTAATGTACGACAATATTTCCGCATAGCAACAGGCAACGGTGCTGTTACCGGCGTCGCAAGCTATGCCGCGAATATTTAAGATCAGCGCACCACGCACCGAACCACTGTTCCTTTAATATCCATTCAGTCGCCACACACCTGGCTCACGGTGTTTTTTATTATCAATTCAGTTAGTGCTCATTGCAATTCTACACTTCGTTCATTGATTGTTATTATTAGTTAGTGCGTCTCACACATCAGTATCACTTGCTCCAGCACGAACTTCAATTGAAATCTCCGATAATCAAGAATACAAGAAAGCACTTATACCACTACAATAGAATAATTCTCTATCTCAATAGAAGCAACCAACAACGCTACAATATTATTATAATTCATAACCAGAATAAACAATAATTGAACACAAAATATATTACATTATACTTTTCAGCGTTTCCATTTGTGCATTCTTTCTTCCTAATCCCTATGGCGAGAGATTAATCCACTGAACTATTGAATCGGCAGTTCGAGCCATAAAATAAACATTAAAATTCGAACATTTAATTATAATTATTATAATGTCTAATAATTTTTATTCAAATTTATTTAAGAATACTTTTATTTACATTTTTTTAGCTAACTAAGCATTAGTTAACATTGTGTATAAATCAAATAACTTATTATTATGGATCATGTGTACCTTAAACTGCACATATATATATATTCAATATTAAGTTAATATTTTATCTTTTATAATTTGATTTTTATTCAGTAATTTTACTTTGAATAATTGTCAAAGTCATGGATTTCATAAATCTAGATTCTGGACAATCTTTATTAGCGATTTAACAATTTAATATGCAGGTTTAAAAATGATTTAAAACTGATACGTGATAGGTTGAGTTTACTATGTACTTGATAGGTAATGCACGCATTAGTTACACGTGGTCTGCATGGATTGGTTCAAATTATGGTATAAATATTTATAGACAAAAAAGTTACTTCTAGAAATCTAACATAGTAGATACAAATTTTCTAAAATATTACATATTAAAATTATATAAAATTATATAAAATAAAATATTAAAATACAATATATTCATTATTTTTTAAGCTTTGTTTAGTTAATTATAGTTAACCATTAAATACTAAATGTAATAGTAAACTATCTAATTTAAATAAAAGGAATTTTTATTCATTATTGTTTAAAAATATTTCAGATGTTGTTTTTTATATTATTCAGTCCATTACTTTTGAATATTAGCCCCATTTTAGCTGAAAAAAGAATCAACAAATATGTAACTACTCTTATTAATGCTAAATGGAAAGATACACCGTTAATTCTTGAAGCAGCAGAATATTTAAATGATGAAAATCCAAATTATTTTTGGAGGTTTGTCGATGAAGTATCTAATAGATCATTAGAATTTGAAAAACATGGTTTGTACATTATTTATAAGTTTAATATTTCAAACCTTTATCAAGTGAGATTTACTAAAATATATTTTTGTACAAATTTATATAATTTATATAAAATATATTAATTATATAAAACTTTAATCTAATAATTTTATTGTATAACCTTACAGTAGTGTATATTAATTTTTAATTAAGAAAAGTTATAATTTGGTTTATATTTTATTAATTAATGGTGTTTTAATATTTTAGTAACTGAAAAAGATCATTATGATTTTGTTATGTCAATATCAGAAAAATTTCTTACTTCAGCTGAGATAGCTGTTATGAAATTAGGACTTTCATTAAGAATTTATTCTCCAAGGATAGAAATGTTTTATCAAATGGCTGAAAATAAAAAAACTTCCAATATTAATTGCAATAATTTTATTGATGTTGGTGGAAAATTCGTTTGTTCTATTGATGAATTACAAAAATTTATAGATAATGTTTGTATTATTTATATGATATTAACATAATCATTAATAATTTTAAGTATTTTTATATATGATTTTGATTATTTATTTCTATGAATATGTATTTTGGTTTTAGAATGATGTAATTTTAATAGATACATACAGTGTAGATCATTTTTATCTTGAGAAGCGATATACAAATAAAACACTTGTTTTGTATGGCCAGATGGGTACGCATGGTTTTTCAGTATTACATGAAAAATTAAAATACTTAGTTACAAGTAATAAAATTAATTATATCCTTCGACATTATAGTAAAGTAAGTCAAAACGATTATTTTAAAACCAATCTGAATTAGAACATTTTTTAATTTTAAATAATTTCATGTATTAGAATAGACTCAATAAAAATCTTAGACTTTCGGGTTATGGTGTTGAATTACAAATGAAATCGACTGAATACAAAGCAACAGATGATTCGGATATCAAACATAATCAAGAGAAAAATGAAGATCTTGGCGAAGGAGTTGATGAAATTGATGGAATAAATTTTTCACTTTTAAAGTAGTTTTTCTATAATATAACTTATGTACATATTTATTATTAATATTTAAAAATATTCTAAAATTTATTTCAGAACATTATATCCTAAAGAAAAAAAAAAGTTGAATGATTTATACACTTATCTTATCGAAAATAATCATGAAATTGGAGCTTTAAAAGTTTGGCAATTCCAAGAATTAAGTCATCAAGCTGCAGAAAGAATCATGAGTTCACCAGCAGGTGAGGCAATTAATGTATTGACTGATATATCTCAAAACTTTCCAATGCAGGTAAAATTATAACATATGATTTATAAAATTATTTTTTATGTTTCAAATATTCTCAAATTACTTTTATATTATAGGCTAAATCATTAATTAAAGAAAAAATTAATAATAATATGAAAAAAGAAATGAAACTTAATCAAGAAATATTTTCTGTTAATTTGAATATACAACCTACTGAAACAGCTTTATTTATCAATGGACTTTTTTTTGATTTAGAGGCCATTGATATATTAACTCTTTTGGAATGCTTACGTTATGAATTAAGAGTTATGGAATCACTTCATAAAATAGGTTAAATATCAAAAAATTTTAAATACAAATTAATTATGAATAATAAAATAATATAACTTCCATTTAGGATTAGATAGTGAAAATATAAATAAATTATTGACATTAGATATATCAAATACTGGAGACAGTAAAGATTTTCTAATTGATATACGTGATTCAGCTATTTTGTGGATAAATGATATTGAAAATGATTTTCGTTACAAAAGTTGGTCTTCATCTTTAAGTGATTTGTTAAGACCAACTTTTCCTGGTATGCTTCGAAACATTCGACGAAATTTTTATAATCTTGTAATATTTTAGTGTAACATTTATTTTTAGTAGTTATGTTTATTTAATTGAATTAAATTTGTTTTTAATTTTATACTATAGGTAATTATCATAGATCCCTTGAAAAAAGAATCTGCACCTTTAATATCTTCAGCTGAATCTCTTTATGCTTATTCTGCACCATTAAGAATAGGTTTTGTATTTTTCACTAATTTTAATGTGAATGAGACTGGCAATACAGATCCAAGTGTAGCAATTAATAATGCTTATCATTACTTAATAGAAAGTAAAAATTCAAAAGATGCTATGAGTTTTTTATCTAGTGTTAGTATTTTGATTAAATAAGTAATTAATTTTTATATTTTATACAATTATAATTTTAAAGTAATATTTTAATATTTAGTTATATAATAATATTGGACCTAATGGGTTACAAATTAATGATGTAAAAAAGGCTATAAAAATCATAGATCCTATGGCAGATATTAATTATATTTTGGGAGAGGAATCGGAATATGATGTTGGGCGTTATCTTGCTAATGATTTTATTAAAAGAACTGGCCTTAAAAAACTACCACAAGTTCTTCTTAATGGAATTCCATTATCAACTAATCAATTAAATGCTGATTCTTTCGAAGAAACAGTGTTGTCAACAATTATAATGCAGACTCCTATGATTCAAAAAGCAGTTTATCGAGGTGAAATTATAGAAAGTGATGATGTTGTTGATTTTCTTATGAATCAGCCACATGTTATGCCTAGGTAAAAAATTTTCAAAATAGTTTGTCTACATGAAAATATATTATCAAAATATATAAAACTATTTTAGATTAAATGAGCGAGTACTTAAGACTGAAAAAAATATCTGGCTTAATTTAATAGGCTCAATACCTAAAAATAATGATTACACAAAATGGAGTTCTCAAGATATTTCATCGTGGTTAATGAAACATTTGTGTTATTTATATATTCCTCGAAAAAGTGTTTCTAGCCATGTATACACATTATGGATTGTTGCAGATTTAGAATTAGAATTGGGTAGAAAATTATTGAAAGAAGCACTTATATATTTGGTAATTAAATTCTCTAAAACTTAATGTATTGTATATATAAAATATTCAAATTTATTTATTAATTATAGGAATCTAATGCTGAAGCACGATTATCTCTTATCATATACAGTCAAAACAATAATCTGTCTGAATTTAATATAAATAAAATTACTCTTGCAGCTATTAACACATTATCCTTAGAGAAATCTTATACATATATACGAAATTTAATGAAAGAGGAGACATATAATTCAATTAAAAATGGAGAATTTAGTATTGAGGTAAACGAACTACATATTGAATTATAATTTTAGAAAATAATTTAAATATATTAAATTAATTATACACTTAGGAAAAAGCAATAAAAGAATATTTAAAAAATGAGTTTTTCTTACTAAATATACAACAACATTATGCAAAGCATATTTTAAATTTAAGCAATAATGAAAGAGCTGTAATTATGAATGGTCGTATAATCGGTCCTTTTGATGAAGAAGAAGAATTTACTAGTGATGATTTTGCTCTCTTAGAAAGATTTAGTCAAAGTACTTATGGAGATAAGTTATTTAAATATTTGAGAAAATGTCAAGTTAATAATGATGAATATGGTCAGCTATTATTTAAAATATCAGATATTATTTAAAAAACGAATTAATTCAAAGTTACCATTTATAATTTTTATTTTATTACAGAAAATGGTGATATATCTGATATAATTATGAAAATTACATCTTTATTAGTATCAAAACCTCAAACTAGAAGTCGATTTAATGTTCCTTTTCATAGTGATAAATTCAGGTATTTTAACTAAAAAATAAAAATGTTACTTAAATTTTTTAGTATAATTTTTGTTTAATAATATTTAATTACATATTTTCAATTTTAGTGTTATTAAAATCCCAGCATCAAATAGAAACTTAGTAACATTTAATTTGATTGCTATAGTTGATCCTGTTTCTAGAGGTGCTCAAAAACTTGGACCAATTCTTAATGTTCTTCATCAATCTTTAAATTGTGATATCAAGGTGTTTTTAAACTGTGTAGATAAAAACAGTGATATGCCACTTAAAAGGTTTATAAATTTTTCATTTTATATATAATTTCATGTCTATTTTTACTATTAATTTTTATCTATTTCATGTACATAGTCATGCACTTCTTTGTTTAAATAATTTTGTTTTTTAGCTTCTATCGATTTGTCCTTGAACCTGAATTGCAATTTACTAGTAATGGTGAAATTGTTGGAGCTATTGCCAAATTTACAAAATTACCAAGTTCATCACTTTTAACTCAAAATATACATGCACCTGAAAATTGGTTAGTTGAAGTTATTAAAAGTGTCTATGATTTAGACAATATTAAATTAGATAATGTTGCTATAGGAGTTCACAGGTATTTTAATCTGTTCAATTAAAATAAATCTACATAAAATTCTATAATAAATTTTTTTATTGTTTATATTATGAATGTAAATATATTTAATCATGACATATTGTTAAGTATTTTATATATAAATAGTTGAACATTTATAATTTAATTAATTAAATTAAATGATTTATTAACATGAATAAAGAATAACGAAAAGGATTTTTCAGTGAATTTGAATTAGAATATTTGCTTCTTGAAGGACATTGCTTTGAAACATCAATTGGAAATCCACCTAGAGGACTGCAAATTACATTAGGAACTGAAAAAGAACCATTGATGGTTGATACAATAGTTATGGCAAATTTGGGATATTTTCAGTTAAAAGCAAATCCAGGTGAATGGTTGTTAAAACTTCGACTAGGACGTTCAGCTGATATTTATGATATTGTAAACGTTGATGGTTTAGAAGTAATACATAACGAAAGTAAAGTAAAAGTCTTAATTAGTTCCTTGAAAAGCAATGTTCTAAAATTAAAAGTTACTAAGAAATCCGAAAAGGTTGATATTGATTTACTTGCAGAAGATGATAAGGAATCAGGAATATGGAATTCTATTTCTAGGTAATTTATTTCTTTTATAACAGCTATATTGAATATAAAATCCTCTTTTTATTAATTTCAAATAATGATTAAATAATGATACTAATAATACTAATTGAATAAAATAGTAATACTATTGCTATATTTTTGCCTATCTTTATCCTATTGGTAAAATAATTATTTACTTATTTGAAATTTTTAATTTATAAAATGTAAATATAAAAAATATTTAAATAACAATTTATAAAAACTTTATTCAAATTTATTGAATTATTTAAACTAATTTTACAAAAATGTTTTCAAATTTAAAATTAAAATTTTTTTATCAGGACTTTTACAAATGCTGAAAAAAGTAATGAACAAAATGAAAAATTGAATATCTTTTCTTTAGCTTCTGGACATTTATATGAAAGATTTATTAAAATAATGATGCTTAGTGTATTAAAACATACTAAAACAGTAATTAAATTTTGGTTCCTAAAAAATTATTTATCTCCTACGTTAAAAGTAATTATTTTATTTTTTACTTCAATTTTATAATATAATTTGTTTTAACAATATTTACTATTTTCATAGGACTTCTTACCACATATGGCTAAAGAATATGGTTTTGAATATGAACTTATTCAGTACAAATGGCCACGATGGTTACATCAACAAACTGAAAAACAAAGAACAATTTGGGGATACAAAATTTTATTTCTTGATGTTTTATTTCCTCTTGATGTTAAAAAAATTATATTTGTTGATGCTGATCAAGTACTTAATACTAGAAATTAAATATACATTAAAATAAAACCATAGCTTAATACGTATAGTTTTTACATTAAAAGTTTAATGTAAAGAAATTTTTTAATTTATTGTGTATAATAAATAAATGAATCATGTATTATTATGGTTTTAAGTTACGAGAATATGTAAAACTAAATTTGTGTTTAATCTAATTTAAAATGTATGTTCTTATTAGGTAGTTCGAGCTGATTTAAAAGAGTTGATTGCAATGGATCTAGGTGGTGCACCATATGCATATACTCCATTCTGTGATAGCAGAAAAGAAATGGATGGCTTCAGATTTTGGAAACAAGGATATTGGAGAAATCACTTACAAGGCCGTTCTTATCATATAAGTGCTTTATATGTAGTCGATTTGAAACGATTTCGTCGTATTGCAGCTGGAGATAGATTACGTGGTCAATATCAAGCATTGAGTCAAGATCCAAATAGTTTATCTAATTTAGATCAGGTAAATTTCGTGCACTTATATGCACCAATATATTTTACAAATATATTATTTACTAAGATGAAGTGTTCATATACCACATATTTAGTTATTTAATAAAGCAATTTATATCGTTTTAATTATAACATTAATAGAAACTTCTTTTCTTTATATATTATTTATAATAATACTATTCTATATTAAAAAGTAAAATATATTTTGAATAAATAATTTATGATTAATTAATTAGAATCATTTTATTCGATTTTTAATTTACACATAATAAATTTATAAAACAATGTTTAAACAATTAATCGTAAAATTTTAATTTTAAAACAATATATTTTTACAGGATCTCCCAAACAACATGATTCATCAGGTTGCAATTAAAACATTACCACAAGATTGGCTTTGGTGTGAAACATGGTGTGATGACAATTCAAAACAATATGCTAAAACTATAGATTTAGTTAGTATTTACATTTAAAAATATATTTATATTCATTTTCAATATTTATTTTTCTTGACTTATAGTGATTTTTTAGTGTAATAATCCGATGACGAAAGAAGCAAAGCTGCAGGCAGCAATGCGCATTTTACCAGAATGGATTACATATGATGAAGAAATTAAATCTTTACAACTAAAGATAATGAGAATAATAGACAATGAAAATAAGCAAACAGAAAAAGAAGAAGGTAAATGATTCATTTGAAAATGATTATTATATTATTTATGTTTAAATACATATTATTTGTAGGATTTATCAATGAGGAATCTGCTAAACATGAAGAATTATAACTATTATATATAAATAGTAAATGACGTTTTAAGATAAAAATGAAAACTTTTTAGTATAGTTGATAATAAAAATTACTTTTTATATTATATTTACTTACTTTTATTTATCTTTCATATGCTATTTAATATTAAATAAATAAAATACAAGATTTTAGGTAACATTGTTATATAATGTTATTTAATTAAAATACAAGTGGAAATTATGATCCTATGTTATTAGTAAAAATATGAATTTCTTGTATTATAAAATAATTCAATGAAATCATTGAAAAAATCACTCATTTTCTAAATTAGTTTTAATAATTTAAATAATATATATAATTTTAAAATTAGTGATAAATTAAAAAATTATAACGAATTATAATACAATTATAATTGTAATTATAATAGTAATAAGTATAAAAAATTGAGAATTAGAAATAAATTTAATCAATTTACATATTTGTATCATGATGCTAAAGTTTTTAAAACTTAGTTCAAACTTTCTAATCAGATGGTACTATATTTTATATATATTTAATTTTTAATTCTTATTTAAACTACATAATGGAGATTCTTGAAATAAATGTAATAATTACAAAATTTAAAAGATCAATAATATATTTTAATTTAAATAAGAATTTAACTTAATCCCATATAGTTTTCATTTATCAATATATTTCTTACATTTGTTCAAATAGATTTAAATATGCTATTTAAAACTATAAATAAGGCCATAAAAAAATTAATAATAGAAAAAACATTCCTACTTTACTGAATATTATAAATATATAAATAATTATTAGTAATTATTTTCATTAATTGGCATTATAATTAATAATTATAATTTATTAAAACCAACAAATATCAAGATTTTAAAAATTAACCAATCACTATCATATTTTCAATTATAATTATATAGGTAAATATAAATAATTGCTGTTCTTCATCAAAAGAAACTTTCATTACTTCTATGTCTTTCTATTATTAATTTTCTATATTCATTTAGAAATCATCATTCTATACTGTGATATAATTTTTGTGAATATAGTAATTAGATATAAATATTTATTTTTAATTACTAAATATTATAATTGCTATTATTATTTGGTATTGTTATTTTTTCTTATGGATTTTAATTGAAATTGATTATATAAATTTATTACTTTCAAGTTTTAGTTAAATTGACTTGAAGATTAATACGAAGCTTTTAGATATATTACTTATATTTTACTGTAAAATGTGTTTACTTAAGTTCCGAACTAATGATTATAATTGTTATATTTAATATTATTTTCTCTGACGTATATTTTTTTATCTATATTAATATTTTCCTTTACTATAGTAGAAAGGGAATTTCAACTATTAAGTATCAATTATTAAATTGTTATCAATTAAATATGAGCACTAATTTGTTGGTATTTAAAATATATTGACATTCTATGACCTTATATATATATATTATTTCTGTCCAACAGTGAGGCAACAATTTATATCAAATTTTAATTAGATTATAAACTGTTTTAATGCAATTATTTTATATGCTGGATAATCTATTTATTTATTAAGAATAAATAAATTCAAACTATTGTTTAATTTAAAATTACACAGTATTGTTTATTATCAAATAAATTTAATATATATTTATGACATATAAATATGTATATACACATTTTTTTAATATTATAATAGTAATGTATCTTCTCTATGACTACATTTTTATTAGTAAGTGTGTTTTTTTTTAAATAAATAACAATTATATAGAAAGAGGATGTAGAATATAGTTTTGTATATTAAATAACAAAGCTGTAAAAATTAATTCCTATCAAAGTAGCTTCATTAAACATAAAATATTTTATAAGCTTGTATATATATATAACGAAAAATAGATCATTGCCAATTCTATAAAAGTACATACAATTATTTAAATTCACACTAAAATCTGTCAAAAGTAAACAAAGAATAATGCTCTGACTACATCAAATAGGGGAAAAGAATTCTTATTAATATTACTAAGTTAATATAGTCCAATAAATACATATATATATATATATATATATATAGATTAAATAAAAACTACAGAACCGAATAAATGTAGTTATTTTATCCATGAAAACCTTTTTAAAAATATGATTCCGCTTAAATGATCACAGTGTGTAATAAAAATGGGAAGTAATTAATTAGCTATTCTATATTTTATGTTATTCATTTTAATTTATTTAAAAATAAGAGGAAACATTTTTTCATATCTTAGATTAAATAATTCGTTAATTTTAGGTATTATGTATATTCTTACAAAATTTAACTAAAAAATTAGATTTTTATTTAATTAGATTTTTAACAATAAAAATTTGTTATCATTTTATGTAATATTTGAATGTGTAATATTTGTAGAATAATGTTTCTGTAATGTTCAATGAATATTGTAATTTACAATTTATAAACTGCATGATTTAAAAATTGTTGTTGCTCTTGTTTTCTTTTCCGTTGATCTGGTGATAATTTTTTTTTCATTTATTTAAATAGTTTGAAACGTAAATTTCATGTCTAATTTTTTATGCGTGAATGATATCGCATACTTTCATAAATAATTGTATCATTTCTTAATCGTTTGCGTCATGCTCTGATTCTATATTAACTAGACTTCTATTTAATTTACTATATTCATCGACTGGAACTAAAACGTATTTTTAATAGTATTCTTCTTTAAATCTTTTGAGAAATAGATTTTATAATATTTGTAATGTTGATTTCTTGACAGTAGAGCACCTTGATACATTGAGGAATTTGAAAAGTGTTTTGTGTACTTCTATAGATCTATTTACTGTAATAGTATTTTATTTGATTTTTAAAATTTTAATACAATATTAAAAATTATTGATAACATGTATTTTTGCATTCCCTTAATTATTGTAATTTTTAGTTTTAAACTAATTCTCGACATTCTAGTATAATTTAATTCAAAATAAACCTACGATTTAGTTTTATTATTACAGCAATAATATTGTTACTGTAAAATATTAAATGTGAGCATAGAATTGGTTAAGTTATCCTACAAATGGATGAATAAAAAATTATTGTATAAATGTAAACTTAATAAGGAATGTTAAAATATTATGTTACATACCACACAGGTTGGTTAGCTTCTTAGATTATAACTTTGGTAATCATCTAAAGTAGAAATAACAGTCGATTGAACAACATAAAATCATTTTAAAAAATAAGTGCTTATTATGCTTCAACAAGAAAAAAACTACAACTGTTTCTAGTTCCGAATGAAATCTTATTAATAATTTTTGAATAATTATGCATTTATAGCCCTAATAGAGACAAAGAGGTAATTTTGATAGCTTTTTTTAATAATGCTTTTAAGATTTGCAATTAATATCAATTAGTCTCATAAAATATCCTTCGTATTGTTTACTGCGTTTTTATTATTTTCTTTATTTTTAATATCCTTTTTTTTTATTCTTTATTTTGAATAACATACATCTCTGAATATTTAAAATTAAATCATTATATAAAAGTTTAATAAGTGAAAAACAAGTATTTTAATTTTTTAAATTTTTTAAGAACTTAATAAGTAAATTTAGAAATATAATATTTAATAAAATTTTGTAAATTCAGCTAAATTTCTGCATTTATATGAAATCAAAATTTTCTACATTTATAAAAAAATAGAAATAAAATAAGTAAATTAATAATTAAAAGAATAAAGTTGAATCGAGCCATGTATTCTACAAATCAGATATATTTAAGCATTCGTTATCTTATTTAAAATAAAATTAAAAAGTAACAATAAATTTTCTTTTGAATAATAACTGAAATATGTCGAAGAATATCGAATACACTTGTAAAAAAATATATCAAATTTAAGCATCTATTTATTAATTATAACTATTAAAATATCTGAAGCGAATAAATCCTTGTGTAAAGGACAAAGATTATGAAATTACTTCCGTAAAATTTCGAATTCATTTAGATTTTACAACCTTGAAATTGTTTTAATGAACGAGTATCACGTGTCTTGTTTCAATTTTACCTTATAGATAATTCGAAAAATCGAAACAAGTCTCATATTTTTAATATATTAAAAAAGTTGGTTTTAAATATTTGATATTATTATAAAAATTTTAAGTAATATTTAAACTTAAACTACAAAACTTGTCTGTCTGAAGACACTGCACCAGTTTATTCTATTTAAGTTTTTTTTATAAAAACATTTATGAATTAAAGATTTATACTATGGGAGTATTTTAAAACTTCAAAATAAATAATAACTACAATATTTTAGACTTAAAATTACTGATAATTTAGAGAAAATCTCGAAATTATTTCTATCTAATTTAAATGATGAAAGTATAAATTTATTCTATATTTTAAAGTTTCTTAAAAATTAAATCAAAGTATATGTCAAATAAATTCGAGTATATATAAAATATTTTCGAACGGCTTCATGGTCAGTACAGTTGTTCATATTAAGTTGTATACATTTTTTTTTAATTTTTATTATTTATAAATATTTTCTTATTGTTTTTCTAATAGAAGTTAATAATAACGAATTATTGAAAGAGCTCAAGGCACTTAAGGAATAAAAGATTTTGAAATACAGGAAATACAAAATAAATGTTTTTAATCAGAAAATGATAATTAATATATACGGAATATTTTGAATAAAAAATAAATGATCTTGGAAGAAATAGCTATAACAGATTAGTGACAAATAACAATAGCATTAACAATACTTCAGGATAATACACTTAAATTTTTTAAAATATTTATATCTGTTTTACAATTTTGAATTTCAAACAATATGAGGAAAAAATTGCATATTATGCATGAATCTACAGTTATGGATTGAAAATTATTGCTTATGTAATAATTACCTTCTACAGTATCTTTCGTTATATATTTTCATCAGTCTGTAACATAAAACTAAAATGAATGATTTATTTCTAAACTCTTACAGATTTATAGATTAGCTATCTTTGTTGAAGTATAATATAAATATATTATATGTAATTATTAATAGTTGTAAAATCCTTATTAATTCTTTTAATGATTGTTTATAATAATGTTACAGAAAAATTAATTTAGTGCTAATATATAAAAATATTTCTAATGCATAAAAACTCTATAATTGAAAGCTTGTATATTTAATAAAGATATTAAAGCATTCTTTATATGTGTATATAGCCATTTTGAATAATATGGTATTTTTATATTCCTGTTATGAATTATTGTATTTTAAGCCATAAAATATGATACAAAAACCTAATAATAGAATTATGTATAACAAATACCAATGTTTGAAACATATTTTATAACAATCCTAATTCAAATTTCACATTGACCAATCTATGTATGTTTCAAATTTTATTTAACATTAAAATGACTTTAAACCTTTAAATTCGATAATTATTATTTCGCTAAATTATTTAACCAAACAATAACAAATTTTAGTTTGAATTTTATTAAAGTACAGTGGCGAATTCTGACAGAATCAGCTATTTCGCTAAAAATGAAGACAATTTTTGTATGCATTACATTTTCATTTTTCTTCTTTTGAAAGGGTAGCTTTATATTTTATTGTATTTATTACATGTATCTCAATTATTAAATGGAATGTAAATATTCATACTACATCACATATTACATTTTAAATGTATAATGATCTAGTAGTAATATAACCTGTTTCAGCAGTAATTAGTTTATTTAATTATTTTAATTGACAAATAAAACAATTTGTAACATATTTTAATTACTATGTTCTCAGTATATTTTGAATGAATATAACTTAATATATTTAAAACGTATTCAATATATTTTGTTTTACATTATTTAAATTTATTTTTTTTTTCAAAGATATAAAAATTTTAAGTAATCGCTCATTTAATTACCATCATATTAATTAAAATATTTTATTAATAATAATAATTCATCTGTTTTTAGATTTAATATCAATGGTTATAGAAAATTAAAATAATAGTTTAATTTATACTTACTAAATCAATAATGATTTACGTAGTATAACTTGATTTTTTATTTAAATTTACAAAATAAAGAAAAAAAATGAATGCACTTTTTTACATAACATACACTTAAGAATAGTAAATATGGAATTTTTCTATCAATTAAATTTATCTTTGAAAAACTATACTTTTGGTAAATATGGAATAAATAATTACAAGTTTTTAAATTATATACTTATTTTACATTCAAAATATAAATTAAATTAAAACATAAACTATCAATATTTTCTTTACTAATAAAAATAATTGAACATTTACAAATCTGCACTCTTATTAAATTTTTTAAAAGAAAACAATCCTTTAAGTAGGAATAATTAATTAAAATTTGAAGTTTGAAATTATGTTAAAATATAATAATAACGGTTTGTTTCATCTATTTAGCTGATATATTATACACAACAGCAAGCGAGCAGTTGTAATTAAAAAATTGTAAAAAAATTTATTGTATATATTGGGTATAAATTATTATTGATTACATGAATTTTGAAATCAAAATACATTAATACATTCTTTGAAATAATATAATAACACATATTTGAAATAAACAAAATTTGAAAAATTAAATATATATTTAAATAAGCAGATATTTTTATAATTCTATGAGATACACGAAAATAATAAAAGCTTAGTAGGAATATAAACTAATCAATCCTATACTTTTATTTATATCCAAGGAATGTCTAACAGAAATACTGTGACTGATTAGCCATTATTTTTGTCGTGACGCAAAGTTGAGAGTTTTTGTTTATTCAACAAGTGACGCGTACAAGACTATTTTATTCAACTTAATCACTCAGTGTTTAATCTTCGTCTTTATCAAATAGAAATATATATATATATATATACATATATATTGATACATAGGTAGATAAACGGATAGATGGATTGATAAAGAGAACATCGGTGCGAGCGTTAGGGAGGGAGAGAGCAAAAGAGGAACGAACGAGCAAGCGAGAGATAGAGAAAAAGAGAGATAGATGCATGTTAACGAATCAAGGAGCAACGTGACAGACACAGCATTGACAAGCGGCACAAATACGTTTTCATAGATAGCCTTATGGCCATAGTGTCAATTACAATCGGTCACAGGACATGGATGGAGAAAAAATAAAACTGTAAGTGATGTATATGATTATTATATATTTATTTATGTATATGCTTCTTATTATCGACATGCTCAATTTTTGCTATAGTGACAATAACTTTAATAATATACAGTAAATTTTAATTTATTAAACTCCATTTTTTCTACTTATATAAATTGTAAAATGGTTGAATTATGAAAGAAGTATGCATAATTTTGATAGTTCTATTTATTTATTTAAAATTTTTGCTTGATATATTGGGGCCTCCTATTATTTGTATAAGATTTTTATTTTTCATAATTCATTAAATTTATAATTACTTGGTAAATATATTTTTCTTCATAATACGTTTATTATAAAATAAAATTAACGGCATTTTCTGTTTTTATATAATGTCTTTCAAAATATTTTTGTTTTATAAATTTTCAATCTCCGCTTATGAAAATAATATTTATTAAATCTATATAATGCAATTTACGTTCATCTGGTATGCAATTTATCATATTTCTACTAAATTAATATTATATTTTGTTAATAAATAAATAATTTAAAAATAATTTACTTTATCAATAGTTTTCGAGATAGTAATAATAATTACACAAATTCATTAATAAGATAAATTAAAATTAAAATATAAATAACATTTGTTTATAATAATATAACCAAATTTCATATATTTAATTTAATTCAATTTGTATTTATATTTAATAAAGAATATCTAAAAAGTATTTGTATTTTGAATATCACTATGTATAAAATGATTATTATAATACAACAATGAAGATATAATAAATATAAAATTTTATGATTTAAGTTTGATAAAAGATGAATTTAAAAGATTTATTTCTTTTCAATTTCAAATTAATAAATTATAATTATAAAATAAAGATCTTTAGAAAACAATACTTTAAAAAAATTAATATAGGTTACTAGCTAAATTTATTTTTAGAGGTTATATTCTTATTTTCCACACAAATTTTAATGTTTTTAAACTATAAAAAATACTCTAGAATTATCGATAGATAACATTTTCTTATCGAAAATACGTTAATATAAGAGAATAAATATATAATTAAAATATTTGAAAATTGTGCTTCACGTAACGTCGTAAATTAACTTATGTTATTAGAAAATCTTAATGAATAAAAATAAACTTACAAATATAATAAAAGTAACAAATTTAATAGAAGTATAAAATTTTTAACTAATGTAAAGTAATTTTTTTAAAGAATTTATTGGTTAAGCAGTTATTAAATGAAATTAGTCACAGATATCACAGATAAAGTTTTTTTTTTTTACATTAAACTATATTTATAATATATTAAATTTTAATAGTTGGTAAAAAATTTAATAACATTTTATAGATATCTTTTTATAATAATAAGAAATTCGAAACGCATAGTTTATAAGAGGTTTTAGAGAATTTAAATTTTTGCATAAAACATCTTGGAATTTTCAAAATATATTTCTTTTATTGAAAACATACATTATATATAAATAATTATTAAAATAATTTTTTTTTTCTTCCAGAATTTTCAGGATAAATATTTTGTTATAAATCTAAGCTAAACAAGTTATAGAATCTATATTAATATATGTGTTATATATAAATTATATATCTCTTGTAAATAGCATTTTCATTTCAATTGTTTTCTATTTTTCATGAATTATACTATTTAAGCGTGTATATAAGTTTTTAAGCTTATTTGTAACAATATATAAAATGAAGTTTCAAAACAAATTTTATTTTCTAATAACTTGTTTATTAAATTAATTTTTGAATAAAATATATCTTTAAATTAAAGCAAATTTTTGTAGTAAAAAATTTAATAATATATCTTTAAGTTAAAGCAAAGATTAAGTGGATCGTAGCATTATTTAACTAATTTTTTAATAAAGTGAGATAATGCTTTAAAAAGTAAGATAATAGTAAGATAATTGAAATAATAAGATTTTAAATCGTTAAAGCCATTTTAGTATTATAGTAAATTGGCACGATAATGAGATATATTATGTAATTTTGTAGTTTCTGTTTTATTGATAACTTTCAAATGCACAAATATTTCTGCAGAATATAAAATAATGATAATAATTAAATTATTATAATATTTCTTAAGTAACTTTATATTTTATCATGATTTTTTATGTTTTTGGGAAAAGTAACATTATTTGTATTAGTTTAATACAGTAACGATTAAGAATATTTACATATGTATTATAATTATTCTTTCTAATATTTAAATAAAATAATAATTTGATTTTTTATTTATAATGTTATTATTTCAATTACTATTTATTGTTAAGCTAAGTATATATGGATAAACTTAATTACAAATAATATTTTTCAGTTAGATATGAATTTATCAGTAAATTAATATAAAATTCTCAATTATCTGTTAATGTAGTAGTGTAGTTTAATACACCGTAATGGTGTAATATCATTAAAAAAAATAAATTTAAAAGAATTTCACAAGTATAAATTTACATATTAACATTTTTATAGTACAAATTGAAATTGAGTAAGTAATAACAATATAAGTAAATTTTTTTTTTATTATACTATACAACAATTGTTCCTACAAGTACAATATAAAATGAATATTTAAATTCAGTATAATCAAGATTTCATTTTAAAGAAAGTTACAAATTTATTTTAATGATATTCTTATCATATAAATCTATAAAATAATTTACATAATCACTGTTATTACAATTTACAAAAAACTCTTAAGTGTCATTACAATAAACCGAAATGATAACAATTTTACACGCAATCTTATCAGATATGTAATGAATAGAAAACGCTTAATTCATTAATATTTTTGATTAATTTTAATTTTATTGCTATTATCGGTGTTGGAATTATAAGAATTATTTTCTATCATAAAATATTCCAAGTTGAAAGCGAAGCTTGCTAAATATTTCAAAATATTTTACAATGAACATTTATGTGATTGCACATATTCGCGTATCCACGCACGCATGCATGCACGCACACAGTCGGCAAATAGACCAAGTAAACATTATTATTATTTTATAGTATAGATTGAAATTAAAATAATGAAAAACTAAATAATATTTTTAGTAAATAAGAAAAATCTGACCAGCAATAAAAATAATACAAAATGTAATAATTTATAAAAAGCATTTTATTGATAATAAATTAAAATGTATTTAATATGAATGAAACTGTAGAAGGTTTTAATCGCGAAATTAGTAGCACTTAATGTAATCCGAACGAAAACTATACCATATTTAATAAATAATATAAAATTAATTGTTATTTTGTATTACCACATAATTACTATATAATATAATAAAATAAATAATACATGTAGAAATGAAATATCTGAATAGATATTGTAATACTTGATATAATTTAACTAAAATTTTCTAATGATTAATGTGAAGTTAATAGTAAACAAAAAAATAAAATAAAATTTTGGAAAATGTTTATATCAAAAAATATAAAATACATTTTTTAAATAAAAGCATACTATATAATATTTATTACTAAACCTTTATTACATATTCCGTAAATAGTTTATTAGAATTTATTATAATAAAAATATTATATTTATATGTACAGTAAAAACATATTTAAAAACAATTAATTTAAATCAATCCAAGTTGAAAAATAAAATTTGACAAATAAAAAAAAATTAGTTTAATAAGATATTTAAGTTTCAAAATTAATAAAAATTTTGAATTGAAAAATCACATTTTATTACATATAATAATAGATTGTTTCTATCTGTAGGTTTCAGGATAAAGCAACTTTTAGTTATGGAACAACTATTTTATCAAATAATAATGAAATAGATAATAAAAATACTTCGACAAAAAAAGTTATTTTCTGTGTCCATGGGAAATTATCTGGATGCTGCACGCTTCTCAAAGGTGAACCTGAAGAAGAATGTGTATTTATTGATTATAGACAAAACTCTACATATCGTTAGTAAAAATATTTTTCTGTCTTCAAATTTTGTGAAAATTTTTTAAAAATTGTCTTATACAATAAGCTTATGTTTATATAAATAATTAATTAATAAATTATAAATATTTTAAATATACTTTAAAGTAATATATTTTGCAGACAATATATCTGATTATACTATAATTAAATAAAAATTTATAACTGATATTTACTGTACTAGCAAATTTAAAAAATCTAATATTTACTTTTACAGTCGAAGATCATTGTCATATGGAGAGAAATGAGGAAATTGATAAAACAGCTAGAAGAAAGTTAACTATTGCCAGTGTATTGTGTGTAATATTTATGATAATGGAAATAGTGGGTGAGAGATTAATTTACAATAAAACTTGGATTTAATTATATCGTACATTTCATGGAATTAATCAGATAAAGATTACAGGTGGTATTTGGTCAAATAGTTTAGCAATTGCAACAGATGCGGCTCACTTACTTACAGATTTTGCATCATTTATGATTTCACTATTTTCGATATGGGTATCGAATAGACCTCCAACTAAAAAAATGCCTTTTGGATGGTATAGAGCAGAAGTAAATTTTTGTTATTTTAACAGAAATATTATTAATAAATAATATACAAATCTTATTGTTTTATTTTTAAATATTTGAGTAATTTGAATAATTATATTTCTTTTAATTTTGATAATTATAATTATAGTATATTTGAGAGTTATATATATATATATATATATATATATATATGTTCGGGATTGAAGCAGTCTAAGCAGAATTTAAAATTGGGAAAAGTACAAGCTCCGGGACGCTCATGTTTGTAAACACGATTCAGCTAATTCGGGAATTTTCCTACGCCTTAAATTCGAATATACTACAATATTTCCACATAGCAACGCCAATGAAACTTCTAGAACCTTCCAAGCTGTGTCCCTTGACGCTTCTAGAACATTCCAGAGCTTTGTTCTCTGATGTCACGACGATTTTCGGCATCGCAACAGGCATCGGCGCTGTTACTGGCGTCGCAAGCTACCACGCGAATATTTAAGAGCAGGGAGCTACGCACCGTAGCACTGTACTTTTAACATCCACTCAGTCGCCACGCACCTGACTCACGGTGTTTTTACTATCTACTCAGTTATCAATTATGACTCACTGTAATTCTACTACTCGCTCACTCATCTGTTATTATTAATTAGCGTATTTTCTTAATCAATCAAGTATCAGTTATCAATTACGATTACGAAATTTAGCAGCAAGCCTAACAATTGACCTACAACATATGCGTGCAATTATTAATAGAATCTGCAATAACAAGTTAGTAATTTAACAGTGACACCATTGGAATTGCAATCAATAAAGTGCGCCAGTCACGCAGCAATTTAGCATACCCTGATGGTAGTTCATAAGGTACATCTTTTTTATTATTTTATACAAGCTAGTCATCCACGCTCGAATCACGGTTCACATAAAATCTGCCAAGTAGGTTGACAGCAACACGCGCTCTTAGGCCTACCAAGCCGAAGGCCGTTCGTTCATCGAGCTACAGTCGACACAGGTGACAGCAACATGCGCTCTCAGGCCCACCAGGCCGAAGACCGTTCGTTCACCCAGCTACACTCGACACAGGTGACAGCAACACGCTGTCAGGCCGACCAAGCCAGAGACCTCTCCAATCCGTTTAATTACGCTATCAATGGCAGATAACAGTTATCAAATAGTCGACTATAACTACCTATTATTAAGTGCTTTCGTACTTGAAGGCTTATCATTTATCGTTATTGCGTGTGACTAGCTCTCTAATACTCCCATACTTCTTTGGAGTATCGTCGATTTACGTAACAACTGCCGCAGAGAATACCGTATTCTCTGCTTTTAAGTATGCTTACTCTCCCTACGAAGCCTTATTTATTACCATTACCATTACCATCACCATCACCATCTTCTCATGCTCGTTAATGAGCATGGTAGATTTCTCATACTGATCTTTACAACATCAGCATAAATTCAATACTCAACATCCACAGTAAATTCCATACCATCAACGACAATCAAGGACAGAAGGAAGCAACCTCACCACTGCAATAGAATTCTTCTCTCTCTCTCTCTCTCTCTCTCTCTCTCTCTCTCTCTTACTTGAAGCAATCAACAAAACTGCAATATTATTATAATTGGTAAACCAGAAGAAAACAATATCTTCATTCATAATATATATTACATAATATGTTCAGCCCTTCTACTTATACCCATTCCTCCTAATCGTTACGACGAGAGACTAATCCACTGAAATATTGAATTGGCAGTTCGAGCCACAAAACAAACACTCAATTTCGAACAATATATATATATATATTCGAGAATATTATCTATTATAAAATTGGATCGTGACAAAACTTTTACGATAAATTTCTCATTAATATTTGTCATATGCATCTAAACGAAAAATATTTAAATACATTATCTAGAAAAATATATTATTTATCATTGTCGCATACATTGTTTTAAAAAGATTAATTATGTGAAATTATTTTATTTTATAGGTTATAGGAGCTTTGACATCGGTTTTATTGATATGGGTAGTTACAGGAATCCTTTTTTTTCTTGCAATAGAACGAATAATCAATAAGAATTTCGAACTCGATGCTCCCATTATGTTAATCACTTCTGCAGTTGGAGTTGCCATTAATTTAATGTACGTATTATTTCATTTGTTTTAAAAAAGCGTAAATAATTTAAATGTAAATTTTTAATAAATAGATTCATTATATTTAAAAATTGAATATAAAAATAAAAAATTTATTGTTCTTTTTTTTCTGTTTTTTGAGTTTTTCTGTATTTTGTGTACTTTAACAACATTTTTTCTTAAGGACTGTAACTTATTGTAATACAGAATTTTTTGGCGAATTCATGTTACATAATTTATATAGGCAATACTATTTTTGGAAAAAATAATTATATATGCTTTAATTGATTTGTTAAAGAAAATCGACTATAACATAAAATACTTTATCACGAAAATAAAAATGTTCTGAGATATTCGTTATGTAAATTCAGAAATTAATGCAACTTTCCTAAAAATATTTGACCTTTATTTATTTGAAAAACAAAATCTGTTTTAAAAATTAAAACACTTTAGCAATGTTTTAGCTAGTTGAATAAGTTTTTGTAAGAATTTAGAAGAAAAGAATGAGTAAATTTAAGCAATTATATATGAACAATACAATATTTGCAATTTGATATAATATTATAGTATAATACAAAGCAAATTGTGTGATTGATCTCAAAAAGTATTTCTTACGAATTATTCTTTTCTTATTAGTCATTTCTATTTTTTAAAAATAGTATCTAAATTTCCAACTATTCTTTTACAGATAACTTTCAATATTTCTCAATTTTTTATTTTTATATTTTTTGTGTATAAATCACTAATAAGTTTATAAGGAATTTAATGAATGTTCTAAAATTTTTTTTTTATTTGTGTTTGAAGATTAATTAGTATCAGTAGTACAAATTATGAATTAGTTGTACTATGATATTTTTTATTAAGTAATTTTTCACTTATAAATATTTTCTCTTTAAGATTAATATTTTGTTTATTAAAAATACTCATATTATATTATAAAAAAGTATATTATACTTTCACGGAATTTTATCTTTAATTTCCATGTAATCAACTTGATAAAATAAGTTTATATTCAATATTGTCAAATTTGATGTCCTAACTAAAGGTATCAACTAAATTAGTTGCTTAATTGTAAATAAAGATTATATAATATCAATTTCTTGTAAATAATTATCATTTCTTAAAAAATCATTGAGATGTTGACTGATTAATACTATACTTTAAGTTTTATTTTATAATGATTTACAATGAATGAAACAGATAACATTATCAATCTGACCAACTATAATAACTACAATTACGACGAATTTTGTTTACATTTCCATACATAAATAAAAAGAAATTAGAAGTTTTACAAATAAAAATATTGCATTTTACAAACGTCAATTAATTTTAATTTAATTGTAAATTAATTAAAATGTTAATTAAATGTTAATTTTACTGTAGTTGTAAAAAATACATTAAATTATTAGCAAATATTTGTACGAATTTTCACATTGTATTTTAATCTGATATAATAAAATAATTAAAAGATGTATATATAATATATGTATTATTTATCTGTATTATACTATTATAATGTATACAATTAATACTTAATTGTTTTTAAAAACCTTCCTAACCATATTTAATAATTGTATATAATAGTAAATAAATAATATAATTAAATTTTTAAATAACGTAGAAAAAGTTTGACAAATTATTATAAGATTTCATTTTATATAAAATAGTTTAATTACCTTAAATAAATATTTTTTATAATAAAAAATTTATTTTAATAGAAGATTGAATTTTATACTATATATTACTAGCCAGTTTTATTAAAATTTATGATTTACCAATTTGAATTTTTTTTGTTGAAAACCAGATTTCATTTATAAAGCAAATGTAGAAATAATATAATAACGTTTAATATATTACATATTAATTAGAAAACATCTATTTCATAAATTTTAAATTGAAAATAGTTTTATGTTTGATATTTGAGTTATAAGCAAAAATTCGACGATTTAATATTGTTTATATTAATTAAAGTTAAGTTAATTAACTTTAAATTTATATTTTATAAAAAAAGGTGGTTCTATGTTTATTTTCAAACTTAAAACTGTATTTGTTTTTAATATATGAATATTGATATAATACTTTAATGTTTCTTTACTATTACTATCATAATATAAATATATATAGAGATGGAAAACCTACAACAAGTAAAACCAACATTTTTGATAATTTATTTTTTTCTATATCTTATCAAATTTGAAAAGATAAGCATTTAATTATTTTATTATAGGACTCTGTTGCATTTGTTCGCTACAAATTCTTATTAATAAATTTATTAATTACATATTTCAATAAGTTTATTTAATAATTTTCATATTGTGAGAAAAGATTGATAAAAACTAAGCATTTATAAACATTGATCTACAGTTATGAATATAGAATAATACAATACTGAAGAATAAAAAAAAATTTACTTCATAATAATTAATTATAAACTTAATTGTTCTACTAATTTATTTGGTGATGACCACTGTAACTAACAAATTACACACATTCATGTATATATATGCATCTGTTAGAATGGGTATGATACTCCATCAACATGGTCATGGTGGATACAGCCACACACATAATTACAGTTACGACCATGATCATAATCAAGAAAAAAATGTAATAGAAACGAAAATGAAGCAAATTATAAATAATAAGAATGGAGAAGAAAATTTAGTCACCATGATTGATAAGCATAATAAAAATAATATCAATGTTAAAGCAGCCTTTGTCCATGTTCTTGGTGACTTCATTCAGAGCACAGGAGTTTTTATTGCAGCAATTGTTATCTATTTTAAGGTATAGTGCATATTAGTTAATTATTATATAATTTATATATATATATATATATATATTTTTAAAGCATTAATGCATCATAATAATAAAGATGCAAGATAGGTAAAAATAATAAATATTCATGTATTTGTGCCAGGTTTTTCATTGGTATTTTAGGTTTTGAATTAATTTTTTTAATACAGATATTTGTTAATAATATAAAATAATATCAATACAATTCCATTGTTATTTTTATAACATGATTTAATAATTATGTAAATATATATATATAAAGATTTAATTTTACATAACATTTTTTAAAGATGTATAATGCCAAATTTTTAGACAATTTATATTTCATTCAATTTATGTACAGAAATGTTACTGTTATAATATATTTAATATTATTGACCAAATATTTTGATACCTTTTACAAAAAATGATTTATTAAAAATTTTGAGTTATGCTTGTTTTTCTCAATTTTTGTCATAAATATCACTTCATTAGCCTAAAAAAAAAGTATCTTTTCTATAATCCATAAAATACTGTATTTTTTCATGTTTATTAAAATATAATTTATGTTATAACTGTAAAATTTAATAAATGTAATATTACTAAAAAAAATGAATATTTTACTATAGAAATTAAACTTTCTCCTAAGTATGTATCAAACATTATATAATATTTTTTAAATTACTCAATTTTTTTCAACGAATACCTTAATAAAATCAAATTACCATTAATATTAAATATACTTAATATATATCGGAACTTCAGGTTAGAAGATTTAGTTTAATTTAAATTCAGTTTCAAGCCAATAATTTTTATTATTGGTTAGCACATTAAATAATTTTTTTGTTGCAATTTATGAATTAAGTCAGGTAGGATATCAACTGTTCAATTTTTTATTCAGCTTTTCTTTCGTACAATATATAATAAATTTTTCATTATGAATGAGAAATTAAATTAAATTTGTTTAAATTATTTTAAACAAAAAATAAAACTTATTAAGTATTAGAGAAAAATTATTTGTTGAACAAAGATAGTAAAAGTATTGTACAATATCTATTTATGATAACCTGAAAAAAACTATATTACCTTTTTATAATTTAACATTAATCTTATTAGAAAAATTTATAACAAATATGAAAATTTTTTATTGTTAGTATGACAAAATATCAGTATTTTAATTTGTTTTGGTGTAATCAAAATGTAACAAATGAAAAGGAAAAAATTAATTTTCACAATCCATTAATTTTTTTAGTTTTCTGTTTCTCTCGTTTTGAATATAAGTAGTTTTTATATTTTCATCCATTTTTATGTAGTTATATAGTTACAAACATCATATTAATAACTAAAAATGTTTGAAATTCCAATAATCCATTGTAATTAATGTTCTGTCCATTCTTTATGTCAAAACAATTTTTTATTTGCTACTAATTTAAATAAAAAAATTAATTTTGTAATTATGTAGTAATAATTCTATTTATAACATAAAAATCTTTACTTTTTATTATATTAGTATATAATTTAAAAGAGGCAAGTAGATTACTTGCTTCATTTTATTTAAAAATTTAAGTTTTAAAAATGTTTCGATTTATGGATTGAAATTAAAGAAGTATTTTGAAGATCAACTATTTATCGAAAAATTTTGCGAGAACCTTCTAATATGAAAATTTATGATATTTAGAATAAAAATAACTAAATAAAAAATGATTTTTTAACATTAAATATTTTATTATTAAGTTAAAAATTTTGTTATGTTATCATTGAACTATATTCTATTATCCTGATTTGTAGATTGGAATTTCACACTTGGGATCTTAAAAATAGCCTTTACCTAGTTGTATTAGATGCACTTGAAAAGCCTACCTGTATTATGAGAACCTTCCTTGCCAAAATAATCATCTAAATTAAGTATTAATTTTTTTCATTTTTTTCAAAAATCTTTTAAATAAGAATTTGTCTTTATAGTGACATGCCAAATTTCTCTGCTAATCTTGATAAAATAAAATTCTTATATTCAAACATTTATAAATAAACTTTGATGCATTTTTAGTTTTGCAAAAAATGTGATTTAATTCACATTAACTTTTTGATTAGTAAAATACAAATCAAGGAATATAATGCAATCAAGAATGATTCTGTAAGCTTGAACTTATATGCATCTATTTCCTTATTACCTTTTTTGTATATGCTTATAATTTTATTAATAAATTTAAGTGCAATTTGAACAATATTATTTTTAAAAATTAGATTGACATATTTTGTTTAACTAAAATCCTTATCTTGGCTTTGTGAGAAATGAATAAATAATTAGATGGCTTTTCTGTGGATCTTTACCCAAACATTTAACAAAATTATACTTTTTTCTAATCCATATTTTAGAAATATTTTTATTACTTTTTTATTTCATTATACTGGTTATTATCTTGATATAAAATTCATCTATATACATTTAAAGAGTGTTATCCTTTTTTTATAAGTTTTATTTCTGTTTTATTTTAACTATCTCAAGTTAAAAAATCAATTATGGGATTTAAATATTTAATTTAGTTTATTTTATCAATTATAATTTAGTAATTATAAACTTATAATTATAATTATGTATATTTAACCACAGCCAGCATGGAATATAGTAGATCCAATTTGTACATTCTTATTTTCCATTTTGGTGATACTCACAACAATTGCCATTGTTAAGGATGTCATGAACGTTTTAATGGAAGGTATTCCAAAAGGATTTGATTATTCTCAAGTGGAAAATACATTTATACAAATTGATGGAGTAATTAAAGTTCATAATTTGAGAATATGGGCTCTTTCATTGGATAAAACGGCACTTTCTGCTCATCTTGCCATCAGTCAGTACTTTTTTTTAGCATAAATGTATATAAAAAGTATTTAAAATATAGTATAATTTAATTCCCCAATTTGTATTTGGATATAACTAAAAAAAATTTAAGATTGTATGTATTTATTTTCAATTAATTTTATAACAAATTTTATTACAAATTTGATACATGGATAATGTTCAAAACTGTTTGATTTCCTGGCTTGAACTGCCAATGTTTCGATAGCTTTATAATAATTTGTCGTCCGCCCTAGCGGATGCTTGGGAAGGAGTTAAGTGGAAGAACTTTAGAAATACAGTGCGCACTTCTTCGTTAATTATGGTTTATTTACTATTACATTGTTGATATGTTAGATTTATGCGATGGAAAGGTGTATCCTATATTCAATCACGAAGATGCAGTTGCTTGGAACTGTTTTTGTGGTGAATAGTTTATCTACACAAGATGTTCCTTTATGACGGTGATGATGTTGTTGATCTTGTAAGGATCAACAACTGATTGTGCATACTCATTATTAGGCAATATGGTTTTTATGTTACTAATAGCCTTTGCTAATCTTGTAAGGATTAGCAACGATTTATGCCTTAAGCTTGTTTTACTCAGAGATACAGTAGCCTTGATCTTAATCTGTGATAATTGGTGTGGTCCGGCATTTTCTTGATAAGAAGGAAATAGTGTCAAACTCTTGTTTTGCAGCTCAGGAGAATTGACGCGTCTTCCTTCTGTTATGATGAGTAGCTTACTTGCCGACTAGCCCCTCATGATTGAACGCAAGGCTGACTAGCCCTCATAGATGAGTATCTCTAGTCCTCTGGCCCACTAGCCCCTCATGGCTGACTAACATGACTGACTGGCTTACGGACAGAAATGTTCTTTTTTCGTGGTGCGCTTGCTTTAAATATACACGCGGTAGCTTACTTAGCTGGCAACAATGCACAGATGTTGCTGTGCGAAAAGTTAAGTTCGAAAGTAAAGCTGTTGGAGAATTCCAACCAACGTTGCTATGTGGAGAGCAGATAAACATTGTAGGGCGTTCCAAAGTATAGCTTTAGAATGTTCCAGAATTCCAGGAATCAAATGTTTAGAAAAATTCCAGAGATAGAAGGCTTATAAATTTTCGAGTGTCTAAAGTCTTGGAAAATGCTCCAATTCCAAACAGAGAACGTTTTTTAAATAAAAATATCTGTTTTGTAAAATTCAAGATTATAAATAGAAAAATTTAAATATTGAAATATTTACTCGCTGAGTTAATAAACAAAAAAAAAATTAAATATATATACAATAGAATATATTGTAAAAATAACTTTTAACAATAATTTAATATAATATTTTTATTAGAATAATAATTTTTATAAAAATATAAAATCATTAAAATTGTTATTTAAAAAATAATTAGTGATTATTTAGATTATTGAACATGTTCCTTCATTTATTAAAATAATTAAAATATTGTTTATAGATAAGTTGAAGAAATACAATTCATTATTAATATATTTTTAGAATCTGGAGTCAGTCCTCAAACAATATTACGTACAGCTACGAGAAACATTCATGAAAAGTATAACTTTTTCGAGATGACATTACAAATTGAGGAGTTCAATGAAAAGATGAAGAATTGTAAACAATGCAAACCACCCACATAATAAACACTCTGTTATATATGAATATTTCACTTTTCTATATTTGATATATTTTATCAGATAAATTAACATGTTACACAATTTATAAAATTAAGTACATTGTTTATTAAATAATGTAAAGAAATAAAATACGTTAATTAAAGTATTTAAATGTAACCTTATATTGTTAAAATATTTTAAACATTATAACAAACAAAACCTAGCTAGTCATTGAAAGTGTGGTATACTTAATCATATAAGATAATTTCAAATAACGACAAAAATAGTATTTTAGATGTATCTAATATACACTATGAAAAAAATGTATACAGTAGTTTATGGAATAAATATGCATTAAATTTTTTTATTTTATATCAAATCATACTTTGTTAAAATATATAATTCAATATCTATTGTTCAGTATTTTATATTCTATCCATATTATTTATCAAATCATTTTTATATCATGTTCTAAATTTTATGTAATTTGTATTAAAACATATTTTTGCAGAATCAAAACATTGTCATTATATATCATGCAATTATATACAAATAAATTTATACATATAGATATATTTCACGATACCACACAAAACAATAATGTAATTTTAAATCGGCCAGAAATAAAATTAACCTCGTATATTATTTAATTGATAATCTGCTACTTCTATAGAATGTAAAATCTATTTGTATGTAAATAAAATATATACTTATTGGTTCTCAAACATGAGCTAAATATAATTACAGAATATAAACATACTTTATCGATCACACAAAATAACTTACTAATAGTTATATAATCTATATTCATGTAAGAGAGGAGCAAATGATAAGTTCTCACATTTATTTATTTAATTTAATTTTCACCCGATAGACAAAATTAGAATACTTTTCCTGTATTTTATGTAATTAAAGGGTTATGTTGATTGTTTTATACAATTTAAATTTATATATTTAAAATATTTATATAGAAAGATATTCAAAATATTTAAATAAAATTTTGAAAAATCCAATCATGAATTATGCATTAATAAATATACTTCATTATAATAAAAACAGTATTGTATAAATTTATATTTTAGAGGAATAGATTTCATATAATTTTATGACTTTTAAAAGCTGAGCACAGTTTTTGTAAACATGACACTTAAACAATTCAAAATTTTATTTACAATTTTATATGCCTAACACCCAACATTTTATAAATAAAATTTATATTTTACTTTATAAAAAATATTAGGATTAACAAATACTTTAATAATAACATGAACTTTATATCATGTTTTTGCAGAGTTTATAAAACTCGCTTAATTTCATATTTTTAAATTTTTCTCTATTGTTTAACAGAATATTGATATATGTAAATTTTTAATATCTACAATTATATATAGTTATTTACAAAGGCATATATGACATATGATACTGTTACAGGGTATATGTAATAATAACTTTGTTAGTTTTATGTGAATATTGTTACTATTATTAAATTTATTAAAACGGATGATGTTATTAAAGTTTACTTGATCATAAATATAAATATTTACGAAGAAATTAAATAAATAAAGGAAAAAAGCAATGAAACTAGTCAATGTTATACTGCAAAAATTAATATAATTTTAATTTTATTTTTATTCAAAATATACATCAAATAAATATTTGTAAATAGTTTAATAATTTAAATTTAATAAATTTGAAAATCGTAAATTTTATGTGTTGATACCACTGTCATTTGGATTTATTAAAATATAATATAAAACTATATAATCAAATTGCATACATTTCCATATAAAAATGAATAAGCTAGAAAATTATTTCACATGTAGAACAGGATTGTTTCCACAATATATTAGTATTTTAATGATGTATAAATAAAAAAAAGGGTAGAGTAAAAAGTGGAAGAATAGAGCAGGTAAATTAAATTAAGCATTAAAAAGCAAAATTAATTTCAACAATTTGTTTTTCTTTAATTAAAAACTAAATAATGGATACTCATAGGTGCATAAAGATTTTTTTTTAGTATTTATGTATAATCATTGCTTTCTTTGCAAATATTTTTAATACCTAAAATTTAATAGAATCAGTATGCGACTAATAAAATTCATTTTTAAATATTTGTCTGAATTTTAACTGCATTATATACTATTTGGCAATTATTTTATGTATTATAAGATCATTTGACTTTGATATAGATTGCATAAACATGGCTGCTTAATATTAATTTAATTTATAAAGTGGATATATAGTGTATCTCAATAAATAAATTAATTTTATTTGTTTCAAAATTAGAATAAGGAATGAGATTAAGGAATTAACTGCAGAGATAAGAATCTTAATAATAAACCCAAAACTCAAACATAAATGTATATCAATTTAATAAAAATCTAAACAACTATTGTTGACTAACTTTAAAAAATATTTTATTTGTTTGATAATTTAAATTTCATCATATCGTCGTATCATATATTCGCTTGTAGTTTAATTAAGTGTTTCCATTTACATACAAGCTAAATATTTGTTTAAGATTTTATGATATTGTTTAATACTGGTTTAAATCATTTCTATTAACCAAATTTGATGAAAATGTATTGTATCACAAACGAAAATTAATATTTTCTTGCGCAGAATCCAGAAAACTTGATAACATGGTATAGTTTTGCTAAGCATTTATTGTACGTAATTTGTATATTACAAAATTTTTTTTTTAATTTAACTTTGAGATGTCTAAGATTATAATATTCTATTAAAATTTTAAATGTTATATATTATTGTAGAATGCCGATCAAGTAGGTGAGGAATTTTAAATTAAATGCAATTATACAATTTTAATATAATAACCTAACAAAAATGTATATGTATGTAATGTTTAAATTAAAAAAAAAATTATAAACTATATTTTACTTAAATTCTTTTTATATATGTACGTATAAATGAAAACTTATAATCATGAAGTTGGAAAAATATATTTATTAAAAAGAATAAAGAACTAAAATCAATTTATTCAAATAATAAAATTTATTTTTATAACTTTTAAAGTAAAAAACTTTCTACAAACAATTTACAATTATGAAATGTATATATATCAATAAGAATGATTGCAATTAAATATATATAATTAAATCTAAAGTTTTTAATTCTACATATTATTTTATATTTTGAAAATTTTTATTTCTTTTATATATGTATTTTTTATATAAAATATTTTATATAATAAAAAAAAATTTTATATAGAAATTTAAGATGCTATAAATAATTTATTTTTAATATTAATGGTCAATTATTATCAATGGTTGGCATATTTATATTTATATTTATGTATGTATGAATGATATAGTTTTTGTATTGTTAATAATTAATTAAAAATTTATTTTATCAAATCCAAACTAATAAAAACAAAATCTTTTAATTCATAAAATATTTATATTTTGTTACATAAAAATGTTTTTTTTTTATTTATAGTACTAATGTTAATATTTTACCATGCACCACTACACTCCAGTCATACATTTATAAACTGTTCATTTTTTATATGTGAAACATTCAAAATTAAAAATAACTAGTATTTTACACATATCAAAGTTTGTTCGAGAAATCAATAGTTACCACTTAAATACAAATTAATTTACCGATGTATTTCAAATGATGTTCCAGGTGCATGAAGTTCAGAACAAATAGATGATATAACTGGTGGTAGGATTGTTGGAATTGATGGAACAGATACTACTGAAGAAGCTGCTAATGCTGCTAATTCTTCTTCTGCTTTTTTCATTATATCATAATCACTTAATGAACTTAAAGTACTTTTTATCTCTTTACGTGTAGATTGCATTTCCAAGCTTAACCTATTTACACTGGACGTTTTATTATATGTTGGCGAATATTTTTCAGAATTTAAATAAGTAGTGGAATTAACTGTTGTTAAAAATGTTGCACTAGGTTTTGAAGGAAGATATGAATCCAATTTAGAATTTTCTTGACGTTTAACATTAGCTAAAATTTCTTGAAGATTTGGTGGAATTGTAATATTTGAAACTTTATCCAAAATAGGCTGGGCAAATTTAGATATACCTTGTGGTGGTGGAGTGAAAGATCTTGTATCTAAAGGACTGTAAGCTTCTATTGTATTTCCATTATCTGGAGGATCAAGTCCTAAGCCCTGAAATAATATAAATAAATTTATAAATTTTGTACATTGAATATTCTTTTGTTTTATATTTATTAATCAAAATTTAATTTGCCAAAAATAATTATATTAAAATAATTTTTTTTTAATTTTATAATAAAATTATTTATAAGCATAATTTAATGATATATTTAATTAATACAACTATTTATCGAAATTTCTTGTATTTGAATATAATTTATTTATTAACTACTTTATTTGCAAATGTAATCAATAAAAAATAATTTTAGGTTTAAAATTTAATTTTTATTTATTAATAATTTAGAATATTTATCACAGATAAATCAATAAAGTATATATCATAGGTTGAACTTTATAATACTAAGTACACGTATAAATTGAAAAATAGTAAATTTCTTTCCACTATGAATTTAGAAGAATTTTCTTTATGGAACAATCAGGAAATAGGAATACAGGATGTTTATCTGAGGTCTAATGTGATTGACTGATTTTATAGAAGTTTTATTTACACCGTGATCAATGAGAGAACCAATTACTACAAATTATGTACGCATGTGCAAATTTTTAAGCCCCGTTGGGCAAGTGTCTCACCGGCAGAGTCGTAGATGTATCGTTGAGAAAGGATGAACTAATATTCTGAATTTGTTGTTTCTCCTCTTCGATTTGCCTACTTAATTCTTCCATCTTGCGTTGCAATTCTGTTGAACTTTTAATCGGAGAAGTTACTGTTGTCACTTCTGATATTGGCTGTATTTGTTTTAAATTAGAAGATGTTAAGAGAACATCTTTATCGTCGATTACAACATCAACAGGCTCTCCTGGACTATAAGGTTCATCCTCATCTTCTACCTGCATTTTATCAGATGACTTAGAAAACTCAAGACTGATTTTAGATGAGAGTTCTGGTACGATTTTTGATATAACTGAAAGATTTTGTTTAATATGTGTTGATGCTCTAATTTGAGTAGTGGGCTTTGGTGAGTTTGGAGGTGTCATACCCTCATTATTGAGTAGTAGTTGCGTTTGTGCCGCAGGTGGCGTATAACAACGGTCGGATAGTTCTTTTTTAAGTAATTTTGAGGGGACCGGGCATAAGGGAATAGAGTTACTAACAGAACGCTTCTTCCTTTGTACAACAATAATACCTAATAACAAATGGTGACGATGCTCCTCTAAATCTGAAGTATCTAATGGTAATAACACAGATGGTAATTTACTACCATTTGAAAATGGCATAATGTAAAAATCTTTAATATTAGGTGAAATGTTACCGAGTACTCCTAATCTATTACGGCTGTTTAAATAACTATAAAGAGTAATGTAGGGAATTTTTTCTTCGTCGTTAGTTGCTGTTAATTTGATGATAAGAATTTCTTTTGTTGCATTTTTTTTCATTTTACCTATGTAATCCCAAACGGTAATGGGATTTATTCTACCAACAACATCAAAAGTATCAGGCAAGTCTTCCATGAGATCCTTGGAGTTACCACTAACATTTTGAGCGGTTACAAAGAACTTAGCAACATCAGCCATATAAACAAAACCGCGCCATACAGTTGTCGAGGTTTGTGTTTCCTTTTTCGGATTGGGTTCAAAAATATCTTTGTCGAGATCGTTAATGTCCGGTGTCTTGATTGTTACCGTCGAGCTAGGCTCTCTATCAGAGACATCTGAATCGTTACCATCTAAAGTATTGGTTGTTGTCTCATCTTCAATATGTCTCCAAAGTCTTTCTTCTATTGCTTTATCCATATTAACTGTTGACATGTCATTATTTCCGGTTTCTTTTCTTAATTCTTCCTCCTTTTTATGTTTTTCTTTAAGTTCTTTATATCTACTCTTGTTATGACTTTTTAAACTATTTCGAGCTTGTTTGTGTTTATCTTTTTTCTCTTTGTTCTTATCTTTCTTCTCTCTCTCTCTACTCTTATCACGCTCCTTATCCTTATCTCTTGCGTGATCTTTGTATTTACCATCCTTCAACTTTTTTTCCTTACTTTTATCTCTGTCCTTATAACTATTTTTGCTTATGCTTCTATTATGACGCTTTTCTCTGTCTCGCGATCTACCATGACGCTTCTCTTTGTCTCTCTCTTTCTCTCTCTTTTTCTTTTCTTCTTCAAGCATTTTTATCTTTTTAAGATCGTCTATTAGTCTCTTCTCCTTATCTTTAATACTCTCTTCTACTGTAGAACTTATTGTTTCACCACAATTAAGTGCTGTAACAATGTCCTGTACAGGTGTTTTAGGATCAACACGTTCCATTATTCCATCATTTTCTATTAATAATTCTCCTTTATGTGTCTTTACAACAATAGACTTGGCTTGGGTCATCAGATCCAATTCATTTTTCTTTATCATTTCTAGTTGGTGCTTATTTTCCTTTTCACGCCACTCTGCTAATTCTTGACTCGCCATTTCTTCAGGACTGAGTTTAACAACAGCATTTGGGCTTAGTGATCGATTTGCAATTTTTCGAAAAAGAGTTAAATTTTTAGTATCCTTTATATTAAAAACAAGGCTACGATATTTAGCTTTATATTTAGCGCCTGTTTCTTTAAAAAATTTATACATTTCGAGTTCAATTTGCAAAGCTAGTTCAATGATTTCATCGGTATTTAAACTTAAATCATTTGTCTCTTTTATCCTTGTGCTAAGTAATTCTGCCAGTATCTTTCTCACGTTTAATCTTATAGGTTCTGTTTCAGGCTTTTTTAAAAGAGTAACATTCACCGTCGCATGTTGTTGTTGTTGTTGTTGTTGTTGTTGTTGTTGTTGTTGTTGGTGGTGGTGGTGATGATGATAGTGATGTTGATTTTGTTGTTGCTGTTTTAGTTGAGAAATTGACGCTTTAGCATCTTGTAATTTTTTAAAAGTTGGTTTTGGTATTGATGCTGATACTGATCTTTGAGATGATTGTTGTTGTTGTTGTTGCTGTTGGAGTGAGCTTTGTATATTTATCTGCTTAAGATACGGTGTTGAATTTCTTCCAGTTTTTGAAGTAATTTGTTTAACTCGAGATTGAGGTGAGGTTATAGAAGTTTGCCTTGATGGAATATCGGTCAAAAGTACAGTCTTTTTTGCACTTGATGCTAAAATGGTTTGCTTTGAACCAATTACTTTTGAGTAAATCATTTTGGATTGAATCGATTTGCCTTGTATTAATTTATTCTATAAAAAATAAGATAAAGTCAAAATTATAAATCAAAATCAAATATACAATCACTAAATATAAAGAATAAAAAAGCTAAACACAACAATACTAATTAAGTCAATACATTTTTTTTAAAGTTTTGAATTATTTAAAACTTATCTTTTGTTTTTAGTTTTATATATAAAAAATTAAAACATACAGTTTTATTTCCTTGAGTAATGGCTGCAGTTTTTTCTTCAAAATCTATAGCATTTAAGCTATTAGATTTAACAACTTCATAAGTTGGATGTTCTTTAAGCCAAACTTTTAAATTTAGTGCAGAGGGAGCATCTGTACCTATATAAAATAAATTCAATATTTTATAATTTAACTTTTTTTTTATTATACTTATACAAATTAGTACTATTAATTAAATAGTACATTTAATAAAATGAAAAATTTAATAAATTTGAAACTATATATATAGCAAGTTATCAGTATAAAAATACAAATTAATTAGTTGAAAATGTTAATCCAATAATTTCATAAGATTTGTTTTTGAGAAACACCAGAAGCTTTGAATTTTATATTAAGTGAATTTAATAAATAAATTAATAACCACGAAAAAAGAAAATCAATCATAATAATATTAGTATTAATGTTCACGTTAATGTTAAATTACATTAAAAATATTTGACTTTTTTTCAGACATTTTACTTACCCGTTAAAACTTTCCCAGTTTTTTTATCAAATACAACTATTCTAATATCTGATTTTAATTTGGGTACTGACATATCTGATTTTGACGTTCTTGTTTGCATTAAAGATGGTTTTTCTTTTGTAGATGTTACTTCAGCGTGTGCTAAAATGCATGCATCCGAGCAATAAATACTTGATTTTCTTGCTTCTTTTTTGCAAACAACGCAATGAGTTATACCTAATGATGTATGAGCACTTTTTCCACAATTTGTTGTAACTTTTAAATCACTTGTTCTTGAATTTAAGGAAGTAGGTAGAGTTCGATTGCATTCATTTGACATTGCATCTACAATGTTACTTTTCTGTTTTTTAGACATAGACGTAAATTTGCTTTCTTCATTCTTTTTTTTTAAGCAATTGGGACAAACCCATTCAATGCCTTGATTTTCCATTTGCTCTCCTATTTAAATAATTATTTTAAAAGGTTTCTTTAAGATTTTTTTTTTAAATACATTAATACAAATTATTTAAAATCAAAACAAAGTGACTAAGAATTATCAGTATTTTATATTTTTTGCAATTTACTTACACATTTGTTTTTATTACTATAAAACTTATTAATGGTATCTCAAAACATATAAATACTGAAAACGATTTAACTAATACTTATCTACTTTATTTAGCATAAAATTATTTCATACCCATTGCTTTTGTAACATGTACACATTTTCCATGGAACCAATCCTGACAAATATCACAGCATATCATAAAACGATTGTTATGAGGTTGTCTACAGATACACCATAATCTATTTGGATCATCTTCAGAATCTGAATTAACTTCTTCCTCTTCTTCATCATCTTCAATATCATATATCATGTCTTGTTTTTGTAAACTAATGTGAGATGTAGTTCTACTGAAAATTATATTTTCGATTTTACATAAATTATAAACAGTTGTACAAAATTATTAACGATTAGATACGGAAAATACATACGATGTTCTTTCGGTTTTAATAATAAATGGCTGTACTTTTGATTGATGTTGTTTTGTTTCATTTTTTATTTTTTCATTTTCTGTTTTTGCTTGCAATCTTTTGCTTCGTGTTGCTGGAGCTTCTATTGGTGGTAATGTTATTACTCGTCCACCACGTACAATTTGTATTGGATCTTTTGTATCTTTTTTATTAACTGGTTCAACTTCTGCTTCAGGTTCCTGTGATGTTATATGTGAGACTGTAGATATTGATTCTCTTTTTTTAGAAGATCCTATCATGGTAGAAGTAGATGTCATTATTGATGAAGATAAAATTGATTCAGGCATTTCTATTGTCTGATCAGTTAATCCATTCTGAAATTAATTATTGCAATTTAATTTAAATTTTTTTAATATTTGATCTTTCAGTTCACTAACTGTTTATATGTTAGAAATTGTTTTAATAAGTATGATGAAATTGATTATATCTCTTTTATTAAATATTATTAACTCTTTTTTTTATATTGATATATTTATGAAGCATAATAGTGCAAGATTAATATAAAATAGTAACTTACTGATATATACAATAAAAAAATACAAATATACAAAAACGAAAAAACTTACTGGATCTAATTCAACACCAAGTGTTTCTTGCAACAATAGTGCTTCTGCTAATAGTTCTTCATCGTTTGGTAACTGTTTATCAGCTTCGATTTCTAATGTAGCCAATAAATGATCATCACCTTCAATATCTAAATTATTAATACGCATACATAAATAATAATTATTAATTAAACTTTGAAATAAAAAATAATAAAGATAAAATAAATATTTAAAAATTTACATAGAAAAATTAATTTAAACTTACTTTCAGAAGCAATGGGTTTTAAGTTATTACTTTGTTCCATTAGTAAAGGTATTTCCTTAGATGAATTTGATTTAAACGCTAATAAAAATAATTAAAATTTAAAAATATGAACTTAAAATAAATTGATGCAAAGAAGTATTATAGTTGTACTATAAGATAAGTAAAAATAGTAATTGCACTAAATTTTAATATTTGAAAATAATATTTTTACATTAGATGACAATTTAAAAAACAATGATTTTTTTAATGATTAATTTATACTTAAGTTATATATAATTTAGTTCACTATGAAAATAAACTATAAATTTGAATTTTAAGCCAATATATATTGAAAGATAATTGGTATGATATATTACTAAAGTCATATTTTGTATTAATTTTATAAATATTAAATATATTTTAAGAATCTATAAATAAAATTATAGTGTTTATAAAAATAAAAATGCACTTACTGGAATTTGCAACTGGTTGAATTATCTCTGCTATTGCAACTTTACTAGTCACTTTATCTTTTACTAAAGAGTCTGTTAATATTAAAGTATTAGCATTATATTTGGTAGATATTGCTTCATTTATAGGATTATTATTATATACATTCGTATCCGTTGAATCATTTAACATATTTATAACACTTATCGTTGTACTTAAATTTGAATTTGAGATTGTAGAAATATTTGTTGCAGTGGACATTACTGGAGTACTCACACTAGTATTACTGATAATGGATGATGAGATTGCAGCACTTGATATAATTGGATTTTCTGTAACTTTGGTTTCACCAGCAGAACCAACTCGACGAATAATATCTGGAGTTGAAAATAAAGCAGGACCTAAAGCTTCAACTATAAATGTATCTGATTTACGTTGCTCTTTTTTTACAGTTTTCCTTTGTGCTGTAACGAACATTAATGAATAATAAATAAAAATCTACTGAAATTAACTTTTATTTTATTTTATTAAATTTTATCAAAGAATTACTAAGATTAATTAAAAATATTTCATAAAATAAAGCAAAATAAAATGTTAGTATATTGTTAATACTTCTATAAAATATACGCACACACACATATACACACAAGAGAGTAAAATAGTACTTCATTTAATTCTTTATATTATTTCTATTGAATTTAGATAATATAAAATAAAATATGATAAAATAAATTATTAATATATTTTACTTAATTTTTAGAGTAAACATTAAATGTTTTCAAATAGTATGGTTTAATTTCAAAATTTATAATATATAAATAAATAAACAATTAAAGTCAAAATTATTATAATTACATATGAAAAAATTCAATTTGATGAAACAAAAGTTAACTTTGAATTAACATTACATTATACGTAATACTGAATAATGTTACTCAATTTATCCTTATGTTTCTAATGCTTAATACTAATACTATTTACATTTATAAAGTATCGAAATCTAAATTTATCAATCATTTATATTATTTTTGATTCAAATGCATATCATTAAGCTTTTACCAATTCATGATAAACAGGAAAAAAAATATTTTATCTAATTTTTTTTTATAAAATAAAAAATTATTGTTTTTTAGGTAAATATCTTAAACAAATTAAAAAATATATGATAATTAATACATTTTATAGAGATAATAATTTATATTAATTTCTAATTTTTTGTATAAATTGTATATTAATATATAATTTATAATCATTACGTTGATCGCAAATTTCTATAAGTTTGCATACAAGTTCATTAGCCAGTGATTGAATTACTCTTATAATAAGATACTTAAATCAATCATTTACGGTAATATAAGTTTGTGAAAAGTTATTGTTGAAAAATAGTAGAAATTATATTGTTTAAATATTTTGGTATCATATTAAAAATGATTTATTACTCTAGATTTTTTACCTATATTATTAAATTTACTTTACTTTTATGGTATGAAATTTCAGAAACGAATGTTTCAGTGAAATAAGAAAATGTTAAAATATTTAAAAAATAAGGTTATTCAATAACGTTCATTTCAGTTTTTAAATTATTGAACGTCTCAATTATTAGCATATGGAATCATGAATGCACATATAAATTGTATGTATATTATTTAAATACTTTTCTAGATTAAAATAAATCAAGCATTTAATATTTAAAAATATTTATATCTATATACATTAGGTAAATAAAAATGATTTAAACATACCAATAAATGTTTTAATTTCTACAGATTTTGAAGAATCAACTACAGGTTTGATTAAAGTCTCTAAAGTTGTTTCAGCTTTTTTTTTTTCTTTTTTAGTCTCTGTAGATTTCATCTTTAAAATAGTGGGTGATCCAATTTTTTGAATTTGTATTGAACCTTGAACCGATTCTATTTGCATTTCGACGGGTATCATATTTTGTTGAATACCTGTTGATTGTTGCAAAATCGACGCTTCTTTTAATAATGTCGAAGAAGGCATAGTTATATCTTTATTATTATTAAGTTTAGAATTCTGAGATGTTATAGTTTTATTTTTTTGAGCTGTAAGTTGTTTTTTATTATTAATGGGCTTAATATCATTTGAATTCATCGTAAGTTGTTTTTGAACAAATATTACTTTTTGATTTTGACTTTGCCCTGGTTTTGTAAGAATCATATCTCCCTTTAACATATTAGTATTTATAAGATTTGCTTTTACTTGATTTGTTGTTTGTAAAATATTTTGCTCAATTGGTAATATTTCATTAATCAGAGAAACTGGTGTATCTAATTCATCTTTTTTCTTACAACCAAAACTTTTTTTCTTACTTTTTCCAGGACTTTGTTTATCAGCTTTTTCATTTTTTTCAGGACTTTTCATTGCACTGACAGCAGCTGCCATTTCTAAATCTAATCGTCGTACTTGTTCACTATCCATTTGTTTATTATAACCCCGTCTTCGCGAAGCAACCATACTACCACCTCTTGTAGTAAGACCTCTTCGACCGCCTCTGGCCCTGACACCTTTCCTGTAAGATTTAGGTCCAAAATCACTGTCACTATCCGATTCCTCCGATTCAGAAGATTCAGAGGATAAGAGTAATTCATCTTCTACTTCGTTATCAATTTTGACATGAAGTTTATTTTCTTGTATTAAATTTGATGCTACACGTGCATTAACTGTCAATTTTGGAGTACTTGTAATGGTATGCAATGCAGTAGAAGCTCTTCGAAGCCTGCTTCCCATTGAAACTGGTTGTTTCACTATCTTTGGAAGTGTAGAAGTAAGTTTTTGTTTAAGTGAAGTCATAGAAGAATTATTAACATTAGTAGAAGATATTGGCAACAACATAGGAGTATGAGATCCTGATTTGTTTAAATCTATGCACATTGATTCATCAATATCAAATGTAGTAAAATCAGGCAATGAAGCTGTAAGCTTTGATTCGGATGGTGAAAACCTACTGGTGTAACAGTGATCTAATTCTATATTATACCTTATAGAATGTTGTTGTTCTTCCACTGTTAACATATCTTTAAAAATTAAAATAATAAAGAAATATTTCATCATAACATAATCAATAAAAATATATATCTACATACCGAGCATTGCAGTAACATTTTCACCAAGTATTTGTTTAGCTTCTTCACTCTGTAAAGCTGTTTCTAATCTTTCTAATTGCTCTGCATCCATTTCCATGAAAGGATCTACTAAGGGAGTTGAATCTGTTGCATTATTTATAGTATTTGTTTCACTTGGTATAAATGAAGGTGGATCAACAGTTAATGTTATATTTCCTTCAGCAGCATCGTTTTCAGTTTGGCCTAACCGTACAACACTTACAGTGGCATTTGATTGATTAACTGCAAAATATTATGATCGTCTCACAAAACATTTGAAAAATATATTTTACATCATATTCATGATTAATATTTAAAAAATGAAATATTTGTATTTATAGTTATAAAATCTTAATACATACGTATAAGACTTTGTAATGTGTCTTGATCTACAGAAATTACACCATTATCATTTACCATTAGAATAAGAGTATTATCCTTTTTACCCTCTTCGGGATCAACAACGTAAGAACTAGACATGACCAATCTAAAAAAATAAAATATTTGTAGAATGTTCTAATTCTGATCTTTTTTCATTTAAAAATGATTTTAAAATTAATTTTAAATAATTATTTAATCATTATAAGTACACTATTTTATTCAAATACAAAAATCATGTAAATGTTCCATATAGTTCATATAAAAAATTAACAAATTTCAATTTTTGGAAGTTTGTATGTTATCAATAATATTAATAACAAAGGTTTATATTGTTAACTTTTAAAATGTAAAAATAAATAAAACAAAAAATATATGTACAAAATAAATTAAAATTATCTCAAGATGAATAAAATCAGATTAAAGTTATAAAAATATTTGTTAACAATTTAATGTAAAAAACTTTTTATATATCATTTTTATTTAATGCAATATACAATAGAATACTTTATATTTTATAAATTAAAATTAAAATATTTGTAGTTTTAAATTAAAAATAAAATATTAATATAATATAATTTACAACATTATTGACTAAAGTTTTATGATACATAACTAGAATTTGATGTATTTAGACTATAAACTTTTTTTAATAAACAGACGATCTTTAATTATTTAAATCATTAATATTAATACATTAAAATAAATTAAAAGATACTCTGTACTTTTTAATAATTATAGATTTCTAGACTTATCTAAAAAATGTATGTATTTTACAAATCAATAGATAATGAAAAAACAAATATTAATAAAATAAATAGATATTTCATTGAACACCTTAAACTAAAAGACATAAAAATATATGCTTTATTGCATTCAGCTAATTCCTTAAATTAATTATATAAATTTTCTTTCATTTAATTGATTTAATCTATTTTCTAGTTATATCTTTTATTTGTCAGGTTTCAACAAATATTTTAATTATTAGGATCTTTATTCACAATCTATATTTTCTATTTTCGAAACTTTAATTAAAAATCTTAAATCAAATTAATATATATCTGGAAATATGATTACTTAATTTGTTCTATTTATACTTATATTTCATTATTAACATCTAAATACCCTTTACAATACTTGATATAATTATATAAAAAAAAATTTAACATTGCTCATTTCATATGTAAATTGAAAATTTGTTGTACAAGCACCTATTTAAGATTGTTTAATCTCAATTTTAATAAAAACAAGGACAAAGGGACAGTATACTCAAACATTTACATCCATGCATTTTTAACGATTTGTTACTTTTCTGCATCGACAAAATGTGCTTGTGCAATTAATATTGCTTCCCGCGTAAAATTCTTCAACCATAAGAATTATAATAAAGTTACAACAAATAACAACCGATAAATATTTTGTTGAGCATACCTCAACAAATCAGATAAGTTTAATATATAATATGATGTATTGAATTAACTTGCGAGGACAATGAGTTAGCAAATTTTTAAGTAAACAAGGTTCGTAAACGACCGATAAAGGTAGAACGCCGCCATTTTCTTTTACACTAAATTTCCTTGATTTGTAATACAACTACACAGTTGAGAAAGACACCTACACAGAATTTCGATCATGCATTCATAGATGATTGATTTGTTTTAGAAATGGGTAAGTGGTTTGTAAAGTATCCAAAAAGGTTCGACCAACATTACAAATACAATGACGCGTTATTTCTATTCTACTATAGAAATCTCATTGCTACAACAGCAAAATATCTAATTAAGTCAGAGTATTGACTAGCCTAAGTGTTCTAAACTGTTATATTAAACTTCGAATATAAATCTAGAGGAAGTAGCAGTATAAAAATACTTAAATTAGATTCGCCATCTAGTGGTGTAAAATTTATAATACACGAAGGAGCATGCGCATTATAGTCTCCAGTTATTTAAACTTCAGATTCATTAAAAATAATATTTGGTTTAATAATTTAATAACAGAAATTAATTAATGAAAAGTATTTGGAAACTGTAAATATTTGATAATATGCTTTTATGTAAATACGGAGAATATTTTGTTTTGTATATAAATTTGTTAAAAACTTTATATATACCATTTTAATAAACATATTATAAATAAGAGTTTATGCTTATATATCTTTATATATATATATCTTTAAATATATAGATTAATAGTCATATCATTTTTGGAATTATATTTTAAAGGGCTTTGAGGACTAAGCTACATTTTGAACGTTCATATTCTTAACATTTTTATTCTATATTTTATTTCATTTCATGTCGCTATGTGAATTGAAAGTACAATTCACTTATTGGCGAATAACTTAACCAGGGTTACACTTATCATAATCGTAATCTCAGTCATGTATTAAAAAAATAGCTATAGTTTTTTTTTATATGTGATATTATCAATACTAGAATGCTAACCACGTCCATAGTCAAAACGTTGGCTACCGTTTAACATTTTGTTTAGCTAGTGTCTGGGTGAGAATGGCTAGGTGTTTTCGGTTTTCTGATATTGACGCATTCATTAGTCGTTCACCGACTCTTATGATTCCGTGTGCATCGATGTAGGCAGTGAGTCGATGGAATGCGTGCAATGAGGTTATACCTGTTGTTTACATCGCTCGTAATTCTTGGAAAACGTATGTTTTTTTTAGTCAGCCGTATCTACTGTGTTCTAGCCTGATTTAATTCAGCGTGTGTAAGCTGATTTGTTGAAGGGCGTTTTCCCTTTAGGCATGCGATGAATATAATGCATGTTGCCGTTATTCTCAGTAGCTCAGTCAGCGTTGGGTAATCGTAAATAATGTCCCAGTCGTAGTCTGATTTTTTGATAGTGGCGATTAACGAGATGCTTGGGCAGGCTTCCTGGTTGCATTGGTCCTCTTTGTCAATTGGTTGTGTTGGCTACTGGAGTGAGTGTCCATGCAGGACCAGTCCACCATAGAATGTGGTTTTTGAGTTGTTGGGTGTTGAGTCCTGTAGATGCGAAGTCGGCTGGATTTAAGGTTCCGGACACATATCTCTATTGTGCTTCTGCTGTGAGTTCTTTAATTTGTGTGACCCTATTACAAACAAATTCCTTCCATCGTGATGGGTGAGCCTTGATTCAGGTCAGGGTTACTCGTGAGTCCGTCCATAGATGTGTGGCCCTTATCTTTAGGTTCGGTGATGTTTTAATGCTTGCAATGAGCTTGATGTTAATAATGCGGCTGTTAGTTCTAATTTAGGTATTGTTAGTTTTTTAAGTGGGGCTACTCTTGTCTTTGAACATATGAATGTGACGGTCGGTTCATTGTTTTCATTGTATATTGCCATATAGATGACGGCAGCCATTGCTAATTTCGACGCGTCAGCAAATCCATGTAGTTCTATAATGGATGATTCCTTTGTTTTGAGCCACCGAGGTGTGGTTAGTTTGTTTAGTGTTTCTAGTTCTCTCCTGATGGTGTGCCATCGGTTGACGACTTGAGCTGGGAGAGGGTCATCCCATCAGACAGTGTGGAGCCATAGTTCTTGAAGTAGTATCTTGGCTCGTATTACAACGATGCGAATCCCAATGGATCAAAAAATTTTGCAATATCAGAGAGAATGGTACGTTTTGATATGGTGGTTGCTTGGGGAGCCAATGATGTTGAGAATGAGAAGATGTCTTCGTGGGGCCTCCATTATTGTCCTAGAATTTTGGTGGCATCTTCGGTTAAGTTTACAGACTGTTCCGGATTCGGTGGTGCCTTGATGGCGGTGATTACTTCCTCGTTGGTGGAGTGCCATTTTGCCAATGCGAATCCGCCCGCCATGCAAAAGTCCCTTAATTGTGTTGCTGTCTCCACTAATTGGCTTAAATTGTTTGCACCGCCAAAGATGTCGTCCACATATCTTCCGTATTTGATAAAGGGGTACAGCGAGTGGATAGTTATCTCCTTCGACCTGTATGAGTTGAAGGAGTGTTCGTACGGCTAGGAATGGAGCCGCTCTGGTCCCATATGTAACAGTGGTTAATTGATAAACGACTTCGTTGCCCTGTTCATCTATCCACAGGATTCGCTGTAGATCCCAGTCGTCTTGGTGGACCAATATTTGTCGGTACATCTTTGTGATGTCTGTAGAGGGTAGGTACCTGTGTTTGCGGATCCAAATTAGTACATCTACAAAGTCTGGATTTAAATTGGCACTGGTGTGCATTATGCCATTCAATGATCGTCCAGTTGATGATGGGCTTGATCCGTTAAAGACGACTCTCAGCTTGGTCGTAGAACTGTCTGGTTTTAGTATACCATGGTGCGGCAGATAGGCAGATAGTTGGACTGGTAATTTGCTGGTAGTCTTCGCATATGATTCATGTTCTCATATTCTGTCATGAATTGAATATATAGCGTGCGATAATTGTCGTCCTTTGTGAACCGTTTTTGGAGGCGTACCAGGTATTGATGGGTCACGTTGTATGAGTCGCCGAGTGTTTCTGGTGATTCTGAAAGAGGGATTTTGACCATATACCTTCCAGTGCCTACGCGTGCTTGGTTCTGTATGTAGTACTGTTCACACAGTTGATCTGGATTAAGTTGACCGTTTGGTTCCCTTGGTACTTCTTCTAGTATCCAAAATCTTAGCAGTAGATTTTACAGGCTATCTTCTAGCTCTTCTGTGAATATGGTCATTGATGTTACAGTGAGAGTGTAGTTGCCGGCTGGTCCAATAATTACCCAGCCAAACATCGACAATTGTGCTATAGGTAAATGTGGTGAAGACTTGATGATGTTGGGTTTTATTACTTGTCCATACGGGTCGGCTCCCAATTCAATGTCTACTGGTCTGGCCTTGCCGTAATTTTCGTCGGCCAGTGGCAGTCCCTGGATGTGAGGCCATGTACATTGTGGGAGATCGTGGGACGGTAGGAGTATGGATAAGGACTTGAGTATGTGAGCATGGATAATGATTGATTCTCTTGAATGTAATGATTGTATAATAGTGAGCGTGATAGTCCCTAGTGGTTGTATTGGTGAAGTTCTGCCGATTCCGAGTACAAGTATTTCAGACCTTTTGGGGGCCACATGAAATAGTCGCGCCAACCTTTCCGTGATGATTGTGATTTCAGAACCAGTGTCTATGAGCAGCCGGGCTTGATGTATGGTTGATTGTATGATTACCTTGGCTACTGCAGTAGCTAAGAATGTCATTGGTTGCTGGTGCTCAATTGCACTGGTGTGCTTCGTGTCTAGTCTTGTGGTGTGTAGTGACTGGACGTTGTCGTTTGGTGTGGTGTCTTGTGCATCATGTAGTAATGTGTAGTATGCTTTGTTGCATAAGTGGCACTTTCTCTTGACTGGGCATGGTTGTGGCAAATGATTGTCGAATTGAATGAATGATAAAATGAATAGATGAGAGTTTCTTCAATTAATATTAGCGACAAGAATCCTGTAAGTGTATTCTTGGTAGCTTGGTGCTTGATTCTCCTACTCGTAGTTATGAACTCGCAGTGGTAGTGGGAGATTCGCGCTGATAAGGGGCAGCGATGGTGCCGCCTTTGCCGCTGCCAAGAAGAGCTGTAGCGGCCTAAGTGGGAGGGGGGCGCCTGTGTGACGTCACTGATGCGGGGCAGTGATGATGCCGAGTTTGCCGCTGCCGAGAAGAGTTGTAGCGGCCAGAGTGGGGGGTGCCTCTGCGACGTCAATGATGCGGGGCAGTGATGATGCCGTTGCCCCTAGCGAGATGTACATTATAGCGGTCTAGTGGAGGGAGGATATCCGTGCCACGTCACTGCTTGACGGGTGGGAGTATTCCTCGTACCGTATACCTTATTAGTGATCCGTAAGAACTTGTGTAATAGCGTAGCTTACATGTGTGGAGTCGATATCAGTTACATTGATGGTACGTAAGTACGTGTGTAATAGCGTCGCTTACGTGTGTTGAGGTCGATTTCTGTAGCAGCGTGGGTAGGCGGAGTGAGCTTGGCTTCCGTTGAACTGGAGTCGATCTCTGCAGCGTTGGTGGGCTGAGTGATTGGCTTCGGTTGGGCTGGAGACGATCTGTGCAGTGTTGGGTGGCCGAACTAACTTGGCTTACGTTGAGCTGGAGTCGATCTGTAGCACGGCGAACCGATCTTAATGAATGCTTGATTGAACTAGTAAGAGCGCGAGAGCGTCAAGCGCGTCTCCTTAAATATCCTAGTACAGGCTTGCGATTCTGATGAATTCTGGATCACTCTTGTCATGCTAATTGATTGAATGACGTCACTAGAGTCTAGCCTTGGAGAATTCGTCGGCCCTTGTTAGTTGGAATTGTAATATAATATTCGAATATTTTGCGTAGTGAGGTTTCCCGATTTCGCAGAATTGTGTTTATGACTCGGCGCGCAAATATTTCTAACTAAGCACAGGTGTTTTTACCTCTCCCACTTCGTTTACCGCGTAAAATTGCTGTAATCCGTAACAGCTAGGAACTCTTCTAACTATTTTAAACGCAACTTTACTCTTTTTTTACATATTATCCTTGTAAAATTGTTAAAACCTTAATTTATTTACTGTAAATACATATAATATTGAAACGTTTATATACTGTTTTTCAGCCATATTTGTATACCTATAGCAATACAATTCATCTTTGCATAATATATGCTTCGAGTATGGAGTTTTTTAAATTCATATTTATATAGAGCAGTAACCAATGCTTTTGACGTAGAAGAAACCATTAATGTCTAGTAAATTGAAAATATTTCAGTAGGCCTGAATAAAATTTAGAGGTCTTAATTTTGAAACAGAGATTCTGTATAAATTTCTTCGTAGCTTTATCTATCTTATCTCATCTGAATATTGATTTTTTCAAATACAATATTTATTTTGTATTCATTTTGTTTATTATTATTGTCGTAACTACATCCATTTCCTTCATACGTATTTTCATATTTTATTCATTCTTCAAAACAGTCTTCAGCCTACAAAACTGTTGATTATTGCAAACTAAATTTATTTAAGAAAAATTATTCTTGGTATCAAATGGTGACACATGCTAAGAATATTTCTTTGCAATACTTTTCTTCAATTTTTTTTTATTTTTATCATTCATGTTAAATATCCTACATTCATCTATTGCATGCCTGTATTATTACATATGCAATATAAAATTTTAAAGCTAAGTCTTTTATTCGTACGTAAGCATAATCACTTCTACTAATTAACAATTTTTATTTTATTTTTATTTCTTTATATATTGAGGCCTGTAAATTAGTTGATATTCAACACTTAATATTACTTTTATTATGAATTTTTTTAAATATTTCTTTCTCGCTATTTACTTTATTTCTTTCTAATTGCATTTTAATTTTTTTAATGCGTATTTAAAGTACTTGCAAGATAAGATTGTCAATTTATGTTACGATTTTCACTCTCTTTTGAGTAAAATTATTCAAAATGTTTATATATATATCATATCATAAGTTAATATATCACTGATTGAATTCTAAAGTCTTCTTTCAATCTGTTGTCAATACTGTTCACTTAGTGAAGTCATTGGATTAATAAACTAACAAATTTCAACAAGTTCTTTATTCTTATACTGATGGCACCAATTTAACAATTTTCCTATTTTAAGTTTATTGTAAACTCTATATACAAATTTTTAAATAGTACATGCATCTTGATCCTGACATAAATATTATAAAAAAAAAATTCATTGAATAAATCCCCGATGTTTTGCCTATTATTATTCCTTTCAATATTTTATTTCCTTTTATTTAGCTTTTAGTTCTCATACATACTAAATTTTAGGCATTTGCTGTTCATGCCTATTTTGTATAGTCATACTTAACTCCTAAACTTTGTCTCATAGTTCATTAAAGAACATATTTGTGGATTCATATATTGAATTATTTTTACATAAGATCTTCTTACTCTATTTTGGGAGTAGATTGCCAATGTGTAAATCGAGTGCCCTAAGATTTTCATAAATGACTCATTTATTTACATTTTAATACTTATATTTAATTCACATAAATTATTATACTCATAGCATTACTTATTTTCAAAATCACTTATTTTATTTCTTATTTAGCCATCCAATTAATTTACATAGATAAGTCCATTTTGTATATCTAGTAGTGAATCCAGATCTACAGATGAGACTATAAAAAACTGATAATATATGCAGCTGTATAAATGTTTATATCCTTAAGAATAAATTAAAGACAATTCTGGAATTACCCAATAATAAAATAGTCATCACTAATAACAGTCCATTGCCATTATTATAGTTACATAGACATGCCCGACGAAAATACCATATACAAATTATTATTTCTGATCAATACTATCTGAATTAATATTAGTTTCTTAGATATTTTAGGATAGAAGAAATACGGTATTACTATTTTCTTTATAATTTGCCTTTAAGAGGAAATTTTACACTATTGTTTTTAGTCATGGGAACCCTCAATTCATCATATTAATATATGTTTGAGGGTTAATTTCTAAGAGCATAATTAAAATCAAATATTAATCGAGTATAAAATGGTATAATTAAAACATTTTCCATTACGCTTTTCTTTAAATTATTAATTATCTTTAAACAAGTAATTAAAACATTTAGGTTATATGCACTATTTGAATATAGTATTTGTACTTATAATTAATAATTAATCAAAACGAAATACAGCCATAAAGGTATTCTAAATATTAACTTTGTTGCAGGTACGAAAAAGTTTAAACCTTATTGATCTCTAACCCTTTATAAAATCAATATACAGTTTTATAGAGCATTGAAACTAATATGAATACTTGTTATTGCAAAGTATTAATACAGCAATATTTTTTCTTTTTTTCATGAATAATGATAATCTTTAAATAATTTATTTATTATTTTAAGTTTTTCAATTATATTTTCAATTGATATTTTAAAAATATAGTTTTTATATAATTATGGAATAAAGTTAAATAAAAAATATTATTTAAAAATTACTACGATTATACAGATTTTAATTAAAGTATTTTAATAAATTTATCTCGAAAAATAACGGGAAGTTATTTAATTTACGTTATTATGTATGGCACGTTATTTCTATTGTTATTTTTTTAGATATAATTTGAATTTCATGTTAAGGATGCTGGAACCCAGAAGCTTGGATTTTATCTATGGTATATTCTTAATGGCCTATTGATTTTTAACTGTAAAAGATCCAAACTATTTAACCTTTGAAAGTGAGAATTCGGTTTGTGATATAAAGAAAAATGTCCAACCAACGTTCAGAATTTCATTTATCAAATAAAAATAAGAAGTTCTTTGATTTGATTAAAGCAAATAGTAAAGATAACAAGATTAATAAAGTTTCTAACCTCAATGATAAAATTAATAATAAATTTGACATTAAAAAGCCTTTAATGAAAAAGCGAGGTATTATTTACTTGGCCACAATACCAAAGTATATGAATGTAATAAAAATTCGTGAAATTTTTTCTGCTTACGGAGAAATTGGTCGTGTATATTTACAATTAGCTAATAGTGGTAAAATAATTTTATATCTATATTTAATTGGTTTTAATTAAATAATGAAATATTGTAATATTATGTATGCATACATTGAATAAATTTATGTATGCATAAATTTCTGTTTTATAGAATTGGAAGGTAAAAATGCAAAAAAAAAATTAAAAACACCGGTAAAACATTTTACAGAAGGATGGGTTGAGTTTGAAAAAAAAAAAGTAGCTAAGTTTGTTGCTAGCACATTAAATAATTGTCAGATTTCCTGTCAAAAGAAAAGTAAATTCTATGATGTTATATGGAATATTAAATATTTACCTCGGTAAATAATAAATGTTTTTAAAATATTAAATATGTGTACTTAATAATATTATGAAATGATTTGATCCAAATATGAATGTTTATAAAAAAGATATTCATATATAAGGTTTAATTTATTTACTTATTTTTATAATTTATATAATATATATATAAATATGGAGATTTTCAACTTTATAATATTAATTTATTTGTTGCTAGGCATTGATTAATTAAATTAACGTTATTTTAATTACTACAGATTTAAATGGACCCATTTGAGTGAAAGATTAGCATATGAAAGAGCTATTTATAAACAAATATTAAGAACTGAAATTTCTCAAGCAAAAAAGGAAGTAAATTTTTTTTCATTTAATATTGATAGAAGTAAAAAATTAAAAATAGGATCAGAACTAGGAAAGTCATCTAACTTTGCTTTACCTCAAATTTACCAAAAAGAGACAGATATCAAGATAAAAGAAAATGAAAAAAAACTAAAGTATAAAGACAGAGAAGACTTTTTAAAAGCTTTATTTGGATAAACTTTAAATAATTTTAATAAACATAATTTTTATAAAAATATTTATAGATGTTTAATTTGAGTTATTTTAACCAAAAGTTTTATTGGAAATTGACTATCAAGTATCTTTATTTTATTTATAAGTAAATAAGCAGTGTATATTATTAAATTATAAATTATGAATTTTTCAGTATTGATATAGAAAAATTTTCAATTAATTTATTAGGAAATATTGATATTAACCATTTAAAAAAGAAAGTTAAAAAAATTTAATGAAAATCTAAGAGTAAATAAATGAATTACTATATATTAAACTTAAAATATATATTTTACTTTTACTTATTGTATTTCTGATTCAGTATTATTTTATTTATAATATTTTTTCTTTGTGCTTCATAATTAATAATTTATAAAATTTGAGGGTAATAACAATACCTAATATTAATTATCTATATCTAATATTTATTCTTTCAACATTCTATAAAATTTATTGTTAATATATTTTACAATTTATTTGTTTTTATCCTTCATTTTATTTAAATTATTATCATTTGCATTTTAACGTTTGTTATCTTATTTCAAGTTATTGAATTTACAATTGTATATCATTTAAAATATAAATATGCATATCTTGAAATACGATAGAAAATAAAATAAATTACTAAATTAGTAAGCATCATAACTACCAGAAATGTACTTTTTGTATTTTATAATGAATTATGTTATTGGATACAGTTCTAATGATAGACATTCCATAGATAAATAAGAAAAGTTAGTAATGAACATAATTTCAAATATGTTTATGATTAAAAATAAAGCACTTTTTTTCTTATAAAAAGTTATATATATGTATATATATATATAAAATATAAAGTATTTTAATCTGTGTTTTAAGAATATATTTACTTTTAACATAATATAAAATTTATAATAAAAATATTAAGTTTTATCATTAATGTACAGAAATATGTCGAATTGTTAATATTTTAAAACTTATTTCAATACTTCAATAGTATTTTAAATTTAGAATGCTTCAGAAATAATCTCATTATTTTTATGTACTTTTCATATTAATTTTTAATATAGATGTAATATAACGAGTTAATTAAAAACAAATTTGATCAGTATAATTTTAATTTATTTAAAATAGACTAATTATATGTAATAAAACAAATAACATACTATATAAATTTAATAATTTGTTTGCTTTATTTAAGGATAAAACACAGAATATAAATTTTTCAGTTAAAATGTATTTAAAAATTTTTTAAACAAATTTCAATTAAAAAAATTACTGAATATTAAATTTATCAAGTAAAAATTATATTATACTGTAGAGAAGGCTAAATTTTCAAGAAATCATTCAACTAGAATAACTTATGCTTTCATACTTACATCATGCAAGGTGTTCATATATAAACCAGAGTTTGTAAAATTAAATATTTATTTTAAAAATATATTTTTATCTTGCAATGAAATATTAACTTTTATATGCATAATAATCTATTTATTAAAACATATTCTTATACAAAATTTATGAAATATCAAATAATTAACTTCAATTTAAGTTTTCAAAATATATATAATGAAAGTATATATAATGTATACACTAAAATATACAGTATATATTAAAAATTAATTAGCATAATTTGCAAAACTTGTTGAATTTGCTAACTAGATATATAATTGAAAAACTTTCTATAAATTTATTGTAAATTTTAAATAATTTAGGTACTTGTAATTTTTTAAATCTTTTATTTGTTACTAACATTTGTTCATTAACATTTGTTTTGAAAATGTTTAATCAAATAAAGATTGACATGTTGTTAGTTTTCTTTATATTTAGAAAAATAAAAATTATTTTTCAAAGAACATCTCGACATATTTATTTAATAATTATAATTGAAAAGTTTTATATTATAATCCAATTTCAAATTTATTTCGAAATCCATTCAAATTAGTTCTAAATATTTAAAAATAAACAGTAAATAGTAAAATAATATAAATAATTTGTATTTTTATGAATTTTCTGTTTTTTTATATTTTAAACTATGGGTAAATAATACTTGTATACCTACTAAATTTTACACCAGTAGAATTAGAATACAGTATGTAGATATATACTATTAATGATAAATAAAGAATAAATTATATATAATACATAATTGAATGGAGCTATATATTTTGTATATCTAAATATAGGATAATTTAATTTTTCAAAATTTTGCTTACAAAAAATCAATTTAAACATTACAGTATGGTAGCTATTACAGTTTAAATATTGTTAATTTGAATATTAAAACATTTGGTTCTGGCTTTAATATATCCTCTATTTAAAAAATTTATTATTGATATATTCCATTTCAAAATGAGTTTTTAATAATGAATAAATTCTTTTACCTTGATTTAAAAATATCTTATTTCATTTAATTTAGATCAAACTTATCAAGAATGAATTAAAAATAATTAAGAGTTTAAAAGTTATAATTTTATAAAATACTTGTTTATTTATTCAAATTTCTATAATGATTGCGTTTAAAATTAATCTAATTTTACAGTAATATAGAAAAATAATTTTTATTAAAAAAATGTCAATATCTATCATTAAAACCATAAACAGTATAATATTACTATCGTGATAATTTAACTTTGAACAAGGGCGAACAAACATATATTTATGTATAATCAACTTGATAAAATGAATGCCGATTAGTTATTTTGGTGGGGTCTAGATTATGTTTAAAGCGGAGAATAGCAAAAATATTGGTGGGGGTATCACGTGGTCTTACGAGTGCAAGTGCAATATAAATTTCCTATTTCTCTATTATATTATTGTTCAGCAAAGTAGTATCTAAATTTAGTCAGGAATTGCACAATGAACCAATGATGTACTGACATTTTAATACGATAAACGATAATTCACATTCATTGCAGTTTGCTTTTTTACAGTGTCTTTTCAAACATAAAAGGGCTGTTACTCCTTTTTCTAGTTTCTGTGAATTTCATAAGCAATACATCATTTTTCAGGTGAATAACAGCTTACATTAAAATGGATGTAAAAAAAATTATGGATTTTATGGAATTAATTGGTCGATTAAAGGTAAGTAAGTTAACTTTTAATTATTCAAAAATATATAAATTCATTCATTTTTAATTCAAGTTTTTTAAAAATTTGTATCATTTTAAATCTGTCATAGCTTAATATATATTTTTAAAATATAAATGAAGTATGTGTGTCATTTATCAATTATTAAGTACTTGTTATAGAAACTTATTTAAATATTTTATAAATAATATTTTAATTATTGTAAAACTCTTAGTTTAATAATTAAATATACACTTTGTTATTCATGCATTTAATTTTATTCTTAAAAATTCTATTTAAATTATTACATATAATTTCTCATAATTGTTAGAAATATAATTAATTAACTTTTAAATTGCATGTAAATAATTTGCAAGTTCAAAATTGGACATTAAATTAATTGTACAAATTTTTATTTATATAATTTATATATTATACTTTCAATCTTATAAAATTTATACATTGATTAATAAAAATTATTTTTAGTTTAGCTGTAATTTGTAATTATATACAATAATACTATAAATACCTAATCAGCGAATGAATAGTTTTATAACATTATAATAAAAATTTATATATTTAAATTATTTCAGCATCTCAAAAGAACAGGTTGGGTAATTAGAAATATTCCTGACCCTGAAACTATTTCAGGGCATATGTACAGAATGGCTATGTTATCTTTTCTAGTTGATCCTAAAGAGAATTTAGATAAATCCAAGTGAGTTAATTTATATAAAGTACATATTAAAATTTTTGTTTTAATTGTTTTAATTGTTTTAATAAAGTGCAAATATATTTACTTGTATAGTAAATATTTAAATAATATATTGTATTGAATAATTAATTCTAAACTATTTTATTTAATACTTTTTAAATATCTATAATTTTTTTTATAATTTTTTTTAATTCTCAAAACAATATTTTAAAAATTAAATAGAATAGTATTCATTAACAGTATATTAAAACACATAATAAGTATGTTATTTTTAGACTGATTGAAATGGCATTGGTTCATGATTTAGCTGAGTGTATAGTTGGAGATATTACACCGCATTGTGGAGTTTTACCAGAAGTTAAACATAGGATGGAAGATGAAGCAATGGAACAAATTTGTAAAAATCTAGGAGATAGAGGATCTGAAATATTGAAACTGTTTAGAGTAAGATAATTTATTACAATAGGTGCTTGTTTTTAAAAATAATAACTTAAGTAACAATTGTATTGTAAGAATTAATTATGATTAATGTTTTGTAGGAGTATGAAAAACAAGAATCAGCTGAAGCCAGATATGTTAAAGATCTTGATCGAATTGATTTATTAATGCAAGCCTTTGAATATGAAAAGCGTGATAACAGTCCAGGTCATTTACAAGAATTTTTTAATTCTACACAAGGAAAAATTAAAGATCCATTTCTTGGAGACATAGTGAAAGAAATTAATAGTCAACGAGAAGCACTTTTTAAAGTAAGAGAAAGTGGTAATTAATATACCATTTTACTTAGCTAAAAATAATTTGAATACTAAAATAATAGAATAAAATTTTTCTTATGCCATTCGTGTAATGCAAATGTGTTGTTTCGATAATTTTAAAAAGTATTGCAAGCCCTACAATTAATGAACTTTTGTTGATTAAATTAATTTAACAATATTTTATGAATAAAAATAATTAAAAATTTGCATAAGATATATTTATTTATTGTAGATTTAAAAATTAACTAATTTGAGCTAAATGTTTTGAGCATGTATATTATATTATACATCTCATCATATTAATTTACTGCTATAAATTTAATTTTGTTATTTAAATATGATTTAACATAAGTAAACTATATTTTATAATAGTATTTATTATATATAATTTATTTAAACTAATAAATTTCAGTAAAATAGAATTATAAATAGCTTATCGAAGGCATGAATTAAAAATTCATTGCTGTATGAGAGCAATGTTTATTTGAATTATTTACTTGTATAAATGAAAATTTATTTACTTCACTATTATTTAGTATTTAAAATATTTATATATATTAAAATTAATATAAATTTTATATATCATGTTCATTATTAGAATTTAGATTAAAAAAATTATTAATTTTAGTTATTTTTGATAAATTTTTGTACAAAATTACAGTTTTTATTTTATTCATTTTTAATGAATGTTATCATTTGAAATTTTTTCAAATTTTATTTTTTCATTTTAATAAAATGTAAAAATTTATTCAGAAATAATAAATGGATATTTGAAAACTTACTATTCATTTTTCTTACTTTCTGTTTTTATTAGTACATAAAGATAGTTATATATAAGAATTCTCCAAAAAATATTTGTAAAATAGTAAGATGACTATACTATTTACTAAATATTTTTTCAATATACTATGTCCAAAATAGTTTTATAATTTTTTATGTAAAGTTGATCAATAAGTAAATAATTAAGGATAGTTGTGGAAATAGTATATACTGAATAATGTAAATTTCTTATTCTAATGAAAAAGGATATTGTATATTATTTATTGTAAACAAAGAAAATAAATTTTTGTTATAATTAATCTCAATGTATAAACTATATGATTTTTAATGATTTACTCAATCGTATTATTTTATCCTCTACTATTTAAAGATGCATTTATAATTTGTATATAACTATGAATTTAAATAAATTAAATATTTAAATAAAATAAATTTTAAAAAAATTAGTTTAAATCATAATTTTTTAATTAAATGAATTCACATGATAAGCAAAATCTTATTGGCTCTCTGTCAGTAAAGACCAAAAATAAGATCAAATTCATAGTTTTTATTAAATTCTTATTCCAAAAAAAATTTTATATTTAATTAATTTATAACCAAAGATTTATTGTTTTTATATTTAATTAATTTTACTTGTATTTTTAATAGATTTTGTGTTACGTAAATGTTTATAATTATAACCAATAAAAAATATTTTACTTGCTAAAATTTATTAAGTTTAATAAAATATAATTAATAGTTATTAAATTTTATTTTATTAATTACAAATGTTATTTATTCAATTAATAAAAAGTAATAAACAATGTTAAAATTTCTAAAATTCAGACCATTTTTAATTTAAATTTAATTGCTAATACTATAAATTGAAATATAAAATTACTTTATATTTTATTATGAATTTAATATATTGTCAAAACGCCAAATGTTTAATTATTATTATAAGTGACAATTTCATCAAGTAAACAAATGAATTGTCTGTTTAAAATATTATTGTGATTAATGTATTGTTAAGTACAACAGTTAATACAACAGAGTAATAGAATGAATAGTTTTTCAGTTTAAGATATATATACTTAAAAATGATAAATTTATATAAATGATTATACTTATACACAATATAAAAAAAAATAAAAAATTTTAAGTAGATAATTTTAATATATAATCAATGTACACAAATTTCAACAAATACAAATAATAGTGGTTTTTCTTTTTATGAAGTGCATTTTATTCCTTTTTTTTATTAATTGTAACAAAATATTCTATAAAAATAAATAATAATTTTTTAATTATATAGTTGATAATAAAAAAGAAATGTAATATGATAAAATTTTCATAATGAAAATATCAATAGGATTAATAATAATTATTGAACATATGTATATTTATTTATGTATATATTTACTTGATTCATAACATAATTGAATATTTTAAATTCCAATATTATAAAATCCAATGTTTTTATTTCTTGTAGTTAGTACAATTTATAAGTTATTGTTTATACATGTATAAGACAATACTGCAGGTCATTAAGTCACTAAGCTTACTGACTTGCAGTATTACTTTTCAAAGTTTTTATTAACATTTATACATAGGCACCAAAAATGTAGACTTCAACATATACACTTATTATTGCATCGAATTTTCAAATTGTTAAAAAAGATTTTCGGTTTAATTGATTGTACTCTTTTACAAATTATAATACTTTAAAAATAATTACATTTTTTTCATTACTATTAAATCCATATTTATAATAACATATTGAATGTATAAACCAATTTTCATGTAATATAAAATGTTATTATCATCAATCTTACAAAGTTATTAAATACATAAGAGAAGCTTTTGAGTAATAAATATCTGTACTATTATATACAATATAAAAGAACAAACATTTTAACAATCAAACATTAATTTTTTTTAAATACTTTAAAATGTTGGTAGTATGGAGAAATATTAGATGGAAAAAGTTGATTTTTTCATTAGACAATTATTTTAATTTTTATCTATAATTTCAAATAGATATTAAATTATTTAAGTTATTTCTTATTATTTACTTAAAAAATTTTACCATTGTCATTATTATACAAAAATTATAATAAATTTGTAATCTTATATAGTATAGGATCAAGTAAAAAAACAAATGTGGTTAATAAAAAATCAATTAGTTCGTTAATAACTAATGGTTAATTGGTTTATGAGAATATATCTTTAAAATGCATATACAATTACAAAAAATTTTTTAAATATTTTGCATCTGGATGTTTTTAATTATTTAAACAAAACTCAAATATGTTCATACACAATTGTTCCATATTCTTATTGGTTAGTTTCGTATTTAACTTCTTGATTTCATTTCCATTCCTGCATGGTGAGAGTCACTATTTCATATGTGCATGATAACATATGGTCGCGTAGTAATTTCCTATATTTACGATCTTAATTATTATACAATACCAAAATGTATATATACTCTGAATATGATAAAATTTTCAATTTTGGTATTGGTTAATATTAGATGTGTTGTTTAAATAGACGAAAATAATAATTGTAGGAAGTTATGCATTGTAACATTTTACTCTATAAACTTTACTCATACAATTCTGCAACATATATTGACAAAAGATTTTTATATAATACAATTGTATATAATTAAAAGCACTAAACTCAAAACAATAATGTAAATAATCATTAAATTCATTGTTCTTGGTACTTAACAGTTACATAAATTTAAATAAAATTTTTTAATTTAATAGTTTATTATAAAATTAGTTTTGAGAATATTTAATATTCCTTTATTATTATAATAGATATATTATAATAAATTTCAAACTATAAATATTTAAAAAATTGGATAAATTAGCTGGAACATAAATTTAATTAGAATATCTAATTTATGAAAAATGAATAAGATATGACCTTTATTGCCATAAAGAAAGTCTTAAAAATTACATATGAATTTTAATGCAAGTATTTGAAATTTATTTTGAAAAATACATAGCATAGAAATGAATACAGGTTATATATTTAAAAAATCATATCTTATTAATATCACCTAAAAATGTGATTGTTAATACAAGTGGTTAAAAATAAAAAATTTAAATTTAAAATATAGACATTGTAGACTAAAGGCAGACAAAATGATTTTTTGACAAATTATGCAAAAATTTAAAAACAATGTTCACTTCCAGGCATATTTAAAATTAATTTAAAAAATAATCATGTATTGGAGCTAAGTCAATCAATTGTATATGAAATTATTCAAACTATTCATATTGAGACCTAAAAATTTGTTTGTTAATGTTTTTATAAATAATTGACATATTAAAAATAATTTAAATATAACTATAATGGTACACATTAAAAAAAATCATTGTTACATTTTATAATCAATAAAGATATTTTTATAACATCAACTTTGATATTACATTTTTTTAATTAATATTTTTTGTATTATTAAATCAATTTTATTTGCTGATTCATTATATTTCGATAATTCACAAATATATCTGTGCTTTGAACCACAATCTTCTCCTTTATATATATATATATTTGACGTTTTATATTCAAGTTTAAGACATCTGTAAACATTTTTAAGCAATATTAACAGTACGTAATATGTGCATAAATCGATAAATAATTTTTGTAAGACTATTATATTATTATATATTAAAGACAATTATAAACTATTTATAATTGACATTAATAGTAAAAATTAATATATTCACTAAGAACTTAAATAGAATCTTTGACAGAAGTTTGAAAGAAAGTGAATGTTGCAAAATAGGATAATAAAATTACAAAATTTTAAAGAAGTATTTATTAAGATCAAAAATATTGTAACTTATATGCATCATTTTTGTTCAATTATAATAAATTTTAATTAAACGTTTGAAAAAAATTAAGATACGTGAATTTCTACTTGCAATAATTAATTCTTTTATATTTTTTAAATGACATTAATGATATATCATGTAATCCAGTGGTCAGTTGAAAAATAAAGAATGTCAACAAAAAATATTTATTATTATGTTTAAACGATACATTATTAAAATGACATCAAGGCCATTATAAACTTTTATATGTATTTGTGATTAATTCATGATTAATTTACAAATTATAGTTATTAGAAATGGTCCAAAACTGTAGATGTATAACCATATCGTGTACATTTTGGAGTAGTTGAAAATTAAAATATCAAATTACTACTTAGTTTTTCTTGAATTTATTATTTTGATTTGCTATTTTTAATGAAATTTGTATATACTTATGTTTCAGTTTTTGTTCCTTTTCTTAACTATTGATTAAGCATGATTTATTAATATATACAATTAATATTCAAACAATTTTTAAAAACAACTAAAATTCTATATTAGATTAAAAATCAACATTAAAATCGTATAAAAATTCCATTATATTATTCTTACTTTTTTCAAAATAGTTTTCAATATTACATTAATTTATTTTGATAAAGTTTTTATTGAATTTAAATTAAAGAATAAAAAACAATAAATAACTAATTATATATATAACATAATTATAAGTAACAAAACAGTATAGTTCATTTAAATTACCTGCCATTATCTATGATATTCTGCATAATATCGTAATAAATTGGCCTTGCACTCGCAGTCCAAATCCACAAAAGTCCAGGATTTAAGCCACCTGTCCAATAATCCTTATTTTTTAATTTAGTATCATTCTGTAAAACTGCTATTACATCTTGGTTTTCTTCAATTGTTTCAAATTCTACCAAGTTACCACCCATTCCACGACACAAATTCGCTGAGGATTTCCAGTTATATTCATGAATGCTGAAGTAATAGCAGAATTGACCAATCCGTACATATTTTTCAGGACAAGGATCTAATTAAGTAAATGTATAAAATTTAATGTGTTGAAAGTAGACTTCTTAAATTATTTCTACCTTTAGATGTATTATAGTCAGATACAATAGAATATAAAAGTTCCTCTGTTTTTTTTAAACGTCTTTCCATTAAATCTATTCTATATACTAATTTCTCGATTGCTCCTGTTGTATTGAATAAAATTTATTAAACTTTATAGAAATATTGATAGTCATATTATTATCATGGGTATAATTAATATTATTATTCTTTAATTATGAGTAATATATTTTTATTATTATCATTTTTGTTATTATAAGCAACTTTTACCAAAATAAATTATCAATCTTCATCTTATTTAAAATACAATAAGTCATTTTACTCAATATTATGTATGTATATGAGGAAAGATTTAACTGATAATACAAGATTTATGTAGATAAATCGAAAATGATGTATACTTAGATTTACAAATATATTTAAATTTATAGGTTCTTTTCTATGCATTTAAAAGTACAGGAACTTATTAAAATTACATAAATGCATAAGAATGCACCTGTGTGATTTGCTGCTACTGATCTTATACAGGATAATATAAACATATAAAATCTTTTACAAATAACAAAAGATTTGATACAAGAAACAAAAAATATATTATCATTTGATAGTTGAAATAATTATAAAATAATTAAATGAGCATTCAATTCGTACATTACAGTTTTATATTAATTTAAAGCTTGTATAACAAATTAATTTGTACCCATATGTGGGAATTATTGTTACTGACAATATTACTTAAATGCTGATGTACATATAATAATACTCAAAACATATAAATAAAATTTTGCATAATGGAAATATTTTTATATTAAGATTTTCATAATGTACATAATTATTTAGAAAATTTTTATTTATTTAGATACAATTAATTGATTGGAAACAAAATAATACATGTGTTATTACATTAGTCTTTAATATATAATTAAGCTAATTGTAGTCTAATTAGTATATTATTGTGGTATCAATTAAAAAATGTTTCCTTGCAAATATTTGCACCTTAAGATTGTTTAAGTTTTGCAAAATTTTGTTGGAAATCCTTTGCATTAAAAAAGATGACAAACAAAATGTAAATTATCTTATATTTTCCATATTTATTATTTAATATTAATGGAGGTGAATAGAAATATTAAAACAAAATCTTTAGTATTTAAATAATTGTATATACATCAGAAATTAAAATTTACATATTAGCAAAAGCTATTATTTATTGAAAATTTATAAATTAATATATATTTATAATGAAATATTTTATTCATATATCAATTTATATATATATCAATTATTAAGGAAGGTATCTAAGGAAAATATTAATTAAATAAAGTGATTAGCAATATAATATACTTATGATAGATGCAATAGGAATGTAATAGTAATCAAAGGATTGTGTTTGAATTTTTGGAAATTTTTTAAAGGTAATCTTTGAAAAAACTTAATTAATTTTTTTATTGTATATTAATATTTATTTTATAAGTTTACCAGAAATCTAATCAATGTTCTTTGCAATATAAAAATCTGAAAAGTTTTGGGTACAAAAAAATTAAGTCGGATTTCAGATTAAATGTCACATATATAATATTTATAAATAATTATTACTAATTAATTTATAAATTAAAATTATAAATATAAATTATAAAATTTTATAGGGACTTCTCAAGTTTTAAATATATTTTAGAATTGTTACTTAAATTAAAATTTAACATTTCCAGGCATTTTATTTCTTTCAACCTGCCATAATTGACTACAATAAACAAATGATTAATTTTTTAATTTTTATAGTAAAAATTCTACAGGAATTTAATTCATCATTATACAGAATAGATTTTATTTTATTATCAATAAATTATGTTTTTAATATATGGATGAGTAAAATGGTTATCAAATTCCTTCATTTAATCTATCAATATAATTAATACTTTCTAAATTAAAACGTTTACTAATTTTATCATTATTAAAAAATTTAAAGTGCAATTTATTGAAATTTTATTTTATATATAATAATTTTAAACAATTAATGACCTATTAACAATTTAGTAACAAAGTAATTTTTATATTATAATAAATTTAATGATTATATCTTAAATTACTAATTTAATTTATTAATTTATAAAATATACAAAAACTATTCTAATTAATTACGTTTAATTATATTTTTTAGATTAAACTTCATAATTATTTATTTTTGTTATTTTCGTAAAATAATTTATTTATTTATTTATTTAAACCCTGAGACATAAGGTATATAATTTTATTATTTCGTTGATACAAATTAAGGATTCTTATTACAATTTTTAAAAAATAATTTAATTAATTTATTAACTTTAATTAATTAATTTACTATATTAATTGTCTATTTTTATTATTTTATATTTTACATTTTATCACTAAAAAATACAATATTTTTAAATATTCACACTTATATAAAATTTTTAAATAAAATTAATTTCTTAATATACTTTCCAATATATTTACGTTATTCTGATGTCTCCTTATATTAATTAATATTAATGAATTATCATTTATAAAACTACTTATAAAATATTTAAAAATTAAATAATAGGCTATTAATTACATTCTTTAATTAATTTTATTAATTAATAATACATTAAAATTATAATTATCTATGAAATTGTTGATCATAAATTATATTTTTTATTTCAAATTAAATTAAAAACTTATTACAAATACATTTATATTAATTTATATCTTTATGCTTGACTGCAATTGCCGGTACAAAATTATATTATTATCCAAGTTTCTGGATTTTATTCAGATTTCTAAAATTATATCCTAAATTTTTAGTTACTTAAAATTATTTTTTACACTAAATTTTATATATCAATTTTTATAATCAATAATTACAAGGAATGAAAGTTTTCAATTGAATGCCATAATTTATTATCATTTAATTATGAATCTAATGAATTTATAATCTACTTTTCATCTGTAATTTATTTATAATATATTATATCCTATTTTAAGTAATTAATTTTATTATTTTAATTTTAATTTCATCTAAAGCTGATATACATAAATAATTTATTTTTAACTTTAATTTTTAACTACATTATAATCTTTTATTTCTAATACAGAGTTATTACATAATATTACTTATTTCATTAGCTTTTTTATAAATTATAATAATTAATATTAATAATTTACTACAGATAATTTAAAATTTATTCTATTTATATATTTTTATTTTATCCAAACAATTTTTTTTATCAGGTACATAAAGTTGGATCTAAGAAATATTTAGTTGTAATAAGTATTTAATTTAGTACAATGCAATTTATCTATGATATTAAGAAATGATATTAATAATCAATTATGGAGTTTCAAATTTTAAATGTAATTTTGAAACAGTTTTATAAATTAGAAATCCTTGTTTAAACACTTATGATAATACAAAATTTTAAATAATCTTTATTTCAATTTTATATCACAATATCAAAATATCATTCAAGAGATGTAGATTCAAGGTTTATTTTGTATTTTAAGTTTCATAAATAGAATTAATTTTAAAAACAAAGAATTTAAGAAAAATGAAATTGGTTATTTAATTATCAGTAATTCCTTCAAATTGAATTTGAAACCTATAACTTTATTGTATAAATTATTAATAAACAATAAGTTAATATGGGAGAAATGCATACTTTTAACATTTTTAATATTCACACCACCTGTGCATAAGTAATATAAACTGTACAACACAATATGGATTTAAAATTGGATAACGATGTCTTAATTGTTATATGTCGTGTTACTACCAAATAGCATTGAATGATTTAATTTGGTGGTTTTATTGTATGTCAATACTATCAGTAAAAAAAGAATATTGAAAAAAATAAAAAAGGAGAAATTCTTTGTATATTAATATAAATATTTGTATATATATAATATTGAATTAGTAAATGATACAGATTACAACATTTTTAATATGATCAATTATAATTTTGACTGGAATAACTTGAATGTAAAAGAAATAAAGTAAAATCAGTTAAAATAAAAAAAGTAAAAGATAAATTAAGAAATTAAAACATATACCAGAGATTCTGCTGACATAATAATTCAGTGATGGATGCAAAAAAATTATAAATTAACATTAAATATTTTAGTTATATAAAATAAAAAATATTTCTTACCCAGTAGATAAAGATCATTATCAGAGATCTCACGTTTGTTGTGATAAGAGATTTTGTTTGCAGTAATTCTTATAGTTGTATTATCAAGTTTTAAAATCCTGGAATCTTTAGTACTAGAATTATTTTCTTCATAAATTATCCAGTCTTCTAGAAACGCACTCCAAGGACCAATTGATTGTGCTTTTGATGAATTCATACATTCTTTCTCAACAGTCTGGGCCAATGATTCTATAGGCATTTTTTTTTAAATTTAATATGTTTTAGCTACTGAACTAATAAATACCTTTGAATGTACTAATATTATATACATTTAAAAAACATTTATAGATCAAAATATATATTTTATCATAGTTGAAAATCTAGCTCGATATTAAAATTTACTATGATAAATATATCTAATAATTCAAAATTTGTATTAAATTTGGTATATTTTAAGATAAAAATTAAAACTATTCACTACTATATGTATTTAAGAATAATTTTTTAAATCAAATTATTTCAACTAATGTTATGTAAAATACATTGATTATTTAAATAGAAAGTCACTATTTGCCTAAAAAATAGTAATAAATAAAATAATAAAACACTTAATGTTAGTAATTCAATTATATTATATAATATTGTTAGCAATATTATTATGTACATGTTAATAAAAAGAATTCATGAATATCAAAAGTCAATCTACTGTAAAAAAAAATATTTGATTCATAGAACGTATAATCAATATGAAGTTTTGTGTTAAGTAAATCCAATATTATTATAAGTTATTGAATTTCAACAATATTATTCATATTAATAGTATTATTTTAATTTTGCAGTGCATATTATTAATTATAGACACATCTAAAATTTAATTATAATATAGTATTTTAGTTTATTAATCACAACAGATTAATCTTTAATGATATAACACTTCTTTACCAATATTTTTATGCTTTATTACAGGTTACTTCACATTATGATACTAAACCAAATATTATTATAATAGGATAATGATTTTTTATTTTCATGTTTTTTATTAGACTATACTGTGATGATGGTACAGAAAAAAATGATTTGTTAATAAAATTATAATTCATATATAAATATATAAAATTAATACAGGATAAAAAAAACTACTTACAAATGTTTATAATTTAAAGATTATTTAATTTTTAATTTTGTTTTCCTGCTTTTTTAAAAGTATATAAAATTACAGAAATTATTTTTAGTAGATATAATGTTCATTTAGTTTTTTTTATGATGGATTGGCAGCCTTTTTATATAAATTCATATATAAATTATATAAATATTAATTATATACAAAATTCATATATATTAATTCATTAATTTAAAACAGTCTGTTATTTTACTTTAGCTAAGATTTCAAGTATATAGAAATAAAATAGATATAGAAGTAAATATAAATAAAATCGACTATCATGTATATCATGTAATTATTTTGAAATATATTAATTGTTATAAAAATACCATGTTTCGTAACAATAACATTATCTACCAGAGTGAAGATAAGTGTAAATATAATTTTCAGCTTCATTGATGATATCTAAAAAAGAAAATAATCATTTTTCAAACTTGTTTTTATAAATGAAATCCTGATAAAATACCAATAATAAGTTTCTCTTGAAAATTTTACATAGCGCAACTAAATATAGATTTAGAATATATATTTAATAATATATATCTTTTAATAATCAAATCTTTTTGAGAATAACATTAATAGAGGAATAACTAAATGAATTAATTTTATTATAAAAAATTATTCATAATATATTAAATGTTATTGATAATGTAAAGATATACAGCACGGCAAATTTTAAAAATGATTCAAGTATAAATGTAATATAAAAATTAATATCTAACATTCATTAATTACTAGTGTTAGGAAACTACAAATATATAAAAGAAATCAAAAGTACATTAAATGATTAATACAATTAAAAAAAAATTATAATACAATATAATTAAAAAATAGTAAATATTTGTTATCCTCAATATATGAAATTCTGAATGGGGTTTAAAAATATACAACTATTCAAATAATTAAAATAAATACTCAATTATAAATAAATAATAAATGGTGTTTCATTAATCTGTAATATAGTACAATGAATATCAAAGATAAATATTTTTCTTAAATACTTGGTTTCGTCATTCAAGTAAAGATGCTATTAAAGATCGAAGATGTTTACATATACGATGATTACAAAACAGGCTGTATATATCTTTGGTGTTTGGATTCTTACGGAAACTAATATAAGCGGATATGTTCTTTCATTTGTAACATCTGAATATGTAATATATTTTATATTACATAAAAATAACGTTAGTTATGTGTCTAGTTCTTAATCGATCGAATTAGTCAAAAATAAATTTGTTACCATGCTAAAAAATAAATTTTTTTTTTTTTATTCAATAAAATTAACAAAAATAAAATTTAATAATGTATTTATTGAATTATATCATCGAATATTTATTGAAAGTAAAAATTACAAACTATTATTTAGTATTATATTGTATTATTTGCTTAGAAATTTATTTAATATTCATAGTACAAAAATACAATGAAATTGTGTAGTAAAATTAAATAAAAAAAATTTTTTTAGTATGTAAGCAAGTTTAATAAAATTGATACAATGCAGAAATAACGTTCTTTATTTAACTAGAAATATATTCGTCATATCTCATAAAATATTAAGTTTTAAAATATTAAATAAAACAAATACTGTGTTAATTAAATTAATGTTTTTTTAATTTATTGTGTTACATAAAAAATTTAAATTATTACATTATTTAAAACGATAAATTAGTAAAGATCCTAAAAACAATTTTATATTCTATCATTGACGTTTTGCTTTTAATCAATTTGAAAAAAACGGTATAATTAATTAATGTTAATAATTGCTTTTATTATTTATTATTACTTATATTTTCATTGCATGATAGTAAAACTAATTTTTTGAGTTTATTTATTATTAATATACTGATATTTTGATGTAAAAATTATATACCACGGTGTTTAAAATTCCACTCATCCAGCTCGAAGGACCAAAATGTTTAGAATTAGACTAAGACCACCAGTTACCTAGTGAGAGAAAAAGTGCGGGCAATTGTAAAGGGTAGCGCATTAATTCAATATTTAACACATGTTTTTCGTGCTGTTTATTGCATTTTACTTTACAAACTATACTATAATGAGTCTAAGTTGGCGTTGAGAATCGGTGTGATCTTGCAGTTATGTCGTGGTTGTCTCGTAGTGATAACTCAATTGCGGTCTCCTCCTTGAAAAGGTGCTCGTTGGTACTGAATCGTTGAAATTAACTCTGGTGAGTGTTAAGTGACTATGGCCCCTGGTATGAAAAGTGCGCTTCGGCATAGGATCCTGGAAGTCTACTCAGAAAGGTGGCTACGGCACCTTGAGCTGTTATGCGGTGGCACAAAGTGCTTAACTGCCGACTCTGCCGAGGGAGCTTCTTTCTTTCTTCTCCTTGACGACTTCACCTTGAATTGGTGAGTGAGTGATTCTTGTGATCATCTTCCTTAAATGCATTCCGTTGATCACAGCGTCAACTTAGGAACGCCTCTTTCTTGGCTTCTACAAACAAAGTCTTCTAACGACGGAGTCTCTACTTAGAGCGCCTTTGGAGAGCCTTTGGAGCGCTTTTGACTGCGGTGTTCCTACTCGGAGCGCCCTTAGCGGCTGCGCCTTTAATTAAGGAGAGTAGGCTTCTCGTGGCTATCCCGCTAAGAGGAATCTCTGACTGCAGCGCCTTCGCTCGGCTTATCCAAGCGACAGTGTGGTTAGACTTGACAATAGTGGATGCGATTGTGTACCGTTAGATTTTTAATTTTGGGTGTAACGATTATTTTCATATATTTAATGAGCTAGGTTTTCCAGAAGCCTAACGACTTGTTTTCCAGAAGTTTAATGACTTGGCTTTGTCAGATGTTTAACGACTTGGGAAGGGTTCTCACAATTTGATAATCATATTTCACATTCGGCCAGCCATCACTAATTTTATTGATGATTATTAACCTTTTTCGGTAATTGCAAAAACTGCTAGCTTATGTGTAGATCTTACAATGATGATCGACGCTGTTTTTAATGTTAATTGCTAGCGAGAGGCCATTTGCAAGGTGGGAACCGCTCATCAGTGACCAGTACCAACGACGCAATCTTAATGTTATTTTGTTGATGATGCCACTTAAAAATCGATTGCTGCCATTCTAAATAGTGAGCTGACCATTCTGACCAGAATTGTTATACCGGTTGTTGTATAAATTGCCAGCAAGACAAACCTGACATTGACAAACCCTTGAGAGGTGATTCTTAAATCGTTGTGAGTGGATTTCCGATAAGAAAATGACCTCGTGTTAGTGCAGAAAACTCATCTGGATCATCGCTCAATTGCTCTCAAGGCCATGAGTTTAAAATTGGCTCAATCTGAGATAGCAGAGTAGTGAGTTCTTCAAAAGTAAGGAAGGCTTCTCCAATTGTATGTCTCAGATGAAATTTCGTGGACTTCACCACCAAAAGTTTGAAATAATCATGAATAATAATGATCAAGAAAACAATTTATGTTGAAATTAGAGAAAATAAAAATAAGTATTGGTAACCTAAGGGTGGTAGTATTAAGTATATAATAAATATATATAAAATATCTGAATTATAAAAAAAAGCTAAAATCATTTAGCATTACATCATTATAAATTAAAATATTTAAAAACAATAAATATTCTTATAAGATTGAAAAATAAATAAAAATAAAAATCAAATAAAAAGTGTACTAAAAATTACAAATTATCTAAATAATAATTTAAAAAATATATATAATATTTAAATTTACATAAATTAGAAATCATTATAAAAAATTATTTGTTAGTTAAATAAGAAATTATCTTGGAATTTGCTTCTATTGTTATTCACAAATCGATCCTTAAAAGAAAATGTAAAAATTCAACATATATATATATGTTTGTATAAATAGATAATTTTTATTGAACGATTCAAAATACATATAACATTCTTTCCATATTGTAAAAAATTGCTGTAATATAACATTTTGTACAATTAAAAGTGTTATATCCTTAATGGAAGGTTAAAAATAAACGGTCAAATTAACATGTTCATTGTTTGCTTGACTGGTACTGGCTTGAGGTTCTGTTGTAATTTCTATATTATCCATTATCTAGTAAAATAAAAATTGAAAATTAATTTTTTGTTTAACTATGCATTAAAAATATAATATAAAGAAAATACAATTTGCCATAATTATTCACAAATACAAAATTACAATGTTTCATATTTACAACATAATTATTATGACATTCAATCGATTTGATAATTTAAAACTATTTATTTGTTTAGAATTAGACACCAGTTTAAAAGTATGGATAAGTGGGAGTGGTAATGTTTTAATTCCATTTTTAACACATCTGCTTTTCCTGCTGTTCATTGCGTTTTATTTTACAAACTACACTATAATGATTCTAAGTTGGTGATAAGAATCGTTGAAATTTTACAGTTCCGTGGTGGTTGCCACATGGTGTTAGCATGCACTATATGTAGAAGTAGGAGGTCGTAAATCTCTGGACACTTCTTCGTGTAGTGCCACGTGGTGGTCACCTCATTGTAGTCTCCTCCTTGAGAAAATATGCGTTAACACTGAGTATGAGAAGTCTTGCAACAACTTCGTGCTCTTGGGCACTATGTATGCTGTTCTACTTGAGTAGTTGTGTGAAACGGTTGTGTGTAGCTTCCTTAGCGGCTTTACGAGAGTGTGCGATGGTACCTAGCATGAAAAGGACGCGACAGCTTCTAGGAGTATCCTTCTTCCTCTTAAGAGAGCGCCTCTGTCTTGTGGCGTCCCCGATAAGAGAGCGCCTCTTCCATAGCGTTCCCTCAACGGGAGCGCCTGTGTTTCTAAGTGACTAGCTTATGGCTGACTAACTCTGACTAGCGCCTGTCTTGACGTTTGCTTGCTTTAAATATTCACGCGACAGGACAGTTAGAACTCACAACAATGGAGGCAATTGTTGTGCTACAAGCAGTGGATACAACTATGCACTTTATTTTTTCTTTTGGATATAACGTCTTTTCCCCCTAATGGCTAACACTCTTGGGCTTTCCCCAGATGTTTGAATGACTTGGGGTTTTCAGATGTATAACAACTTGGGTTTTGCCAGATGTCTAATGACTTGGGAAGGGTTCACGCAATTTCGAACATTATTAAAACACTACCTTATACATTTTTTATCCAAGAATTAATTTATATTGAAAAAGACTATTATAAAGCAATTATTTTTTAAAAATATATTTTTATATATATTAGAATTAAAAAATAATTAGTAAAAATTATGAAACTACTTTTATTCGATTTCATAGACTTTACTATTTAAATGTTATTGTTTTAAAATCATTCATCCTTATTTTTTAACATTATTTTTTATTGAAATTGAATTCTTTATTGAAAATCAGTTTCAACGAAGACTTTCGCAAAATGTTACTACTGCAACTTTCGAACATACATACTGTTCGAAAATATTTAATTTTCTGGCACGAACTGCCAATGTTCGATAATGCAATTTAATCTGTCGCCCGCCTTGGCCGATGCTTAGGTAAGAACTTAAATCGAAAAGCTGTAGAGATATACAGTGAGTGAAGATGTCTAGGATCAGACTAAAAACCTCCTGTTGATGTTAGGTGGAGGTGTTGCTGGCAAGTGGAAGGGGAAATGCAATTATTCAATTCTACACGCAATGTTTCTTCACTTTCCTTTATTAAATACAATAATATAATAAATAGTTAATGGGAATAAAATGTAGGAATAGGATGGAGTGAGTGAATAATTTGATGAAGTTTCTTCAATTGTGTTATATGCTGAGGAGAGTGTGTGTACTCTCCGTGATGTGAGGCGTGACTCCTTTCCTTCCGAGAAGTTCCGCTATAGTAGTATGCGAGAGCCGCCGCTGTCGGTGTGATCCGTTAATACATGTAGTAGTATAATTTCAATAATTTCACTCCCGATTATGTTTGCACTAGCGCTTTATGAGTTTAAATTTAGTTAAAGGATTCTAACAGTGTGGCGTTACTATTGGATTGTTAGAGTGCTTATTGTTTGATCATTACGTACATGTATCGCTACAGTGAGTGATGACTGTAGTGTGAAGCGTGATGATTGAATAGTGAGCCCGTCGTGGTGACTGCGTAATTATTACTAGCACTGAGCGCTGAGTGTCAAGCGCAGCCCTTAAATATTCTCGTAGTAGTTTGCGACGCCGGTAACGATCCGGTGTCTGTTGCTATTCCGATATTCTTCGTGACGTCAATAGGATATAGCCTTGGAAGATTCATCGGTATTACTTTTCAGAATTGTAACCGTATATTCGAGTTTTCAGAGTAGAAAAATTTCTCGAATTCGCTGGCTTGTGTTTATAAACAAACTATCCAGGAGCTCCTACCTCTTCCACTTTTGTATTACGCTTTCAACTGTGTCAATCCATAACAGCAGACTTTATTAAATATTGTTTATTATGTTTTATTGACAATTAGATTATTGACGAATTGAATTCACTTCTCAGGAGAGAGTGAACTATGTTTAATCACAACGATGTAGTTGCTCCTTGTCGATGGTGACGATATTGTCGCTGACCTTATAAGGATCAACAATGGATTATGTACACTCCTGGAAGAGGAGTATGGCTAATCTATGTAATTGAGGCCTTGCTAGTGTTGTAAGGATTAGCAAGAAGTTGTGCATACTCAATTGGAGGGAGTATGACTGTTCGAAATTTAATGTTTATTTTATGGCTCGAACTGCCAATTCAATAGTTCAGTGGATTAAACTCTCTCCATAGCGATTAGGAAGACGGAGGCACAAGTGGAAGAGCTGAAAAGTATAATGTAATGTATTTTGAGTTTAATTATTGTTTATTCAGGTTATGAATTATAATAAGATTGTACCGTTGTTGGTTGCTTTAATTGAGATAGAGAATTATTCTATTGTAGTGGTGCGAGTTCTTTCTTGTGTTCTTGATTGTTGTTGATGCAATGGAGGTTATGTGGATCTTCAATGTAAATTTTATGCTGATGTTGTAGGGATCAGCATGAGTTAGTTGAATTAGTCTTCATGAGCATGGGAAGATGGTAATGGTAGTGGTAATAGTAATCAATAAGAATTCGTAGAGAATGCAAACACGATTTTATAGGGGCGGAAAAAGTTTTTAGGAAGTAATTGTTACGTAATTCGAACCTACTCCAACGGAGAGTGGGACTTTTTGAGTGTTAGTCACAGGCATGAAAATTGAATCAGAATTAGTCCCTTCAAAGACGGAAGGGACTTATTACCGACCTTGAATGGCTGAACTCGAACCTCGATAATGTAAATAAGCGAAAAAGGCGAGCGCACAGTCTCAGCCCTGTGTGGCCTATTAGACGGTATTGCGTCACCGACTTTAGTGGGGATGAGTTCTAGCCCTGACAACATGCATACATGTAGAAGGTGGTTTTTACGGTCTCAGTCCTGTGTAGCGTCTGAGAGCGCATTGTGTGGGTTTGAAGTATTGCGCGCAGCTTGATTTGAGCGAGAGCGACTAATTTTGTACAATTAATAGAGAGGAGGTACCTTATGAACTACCGTATTGGTTAGCCGGTTTGGAGGCATGTTTGGCGCGCCTTATTGATTACGATTCCAATGGCTTCACTGTTCGATTGCTACCCAGGTTGCAATATATTCTTATAATGTCGCACGTATGCCTTTTAGATAGATTGTCGGAGATTTAAGTTGAAGCTTGTGTTGGCGCAAGTGATACCGATATATGAACTGCACTAACTAATAATAACAAATCAATGAACGAGGTGTATGATAGTTAGATTGATTGTTAGATTAGAGAGAAGCTTGGGATTATTCTAGAAGCTTCATCGATGTTGCTATGCGGAAATATTGTCGTATATTAGACGTTGCGGTGTAGGAAAATTCTTGGAATCGCTGAATCGTATTTACAAACAAGCGTTTGTAACTCTCCCATTTTGAAATTTGAATTAAGTTGCCTCAATCCCAAACAATGACTTAGTTATATAATAGTTACCCTCAATAGAGACTACTGGTATGCATTCGTGATAAGGAGTACTTCGATACCATGCTTCTTGTAGTCGAATATTTTCTTGTATTGCAGTGAGCATCTTTGACTGCTTGTTAATTGTTGCGCATCGTAGAATGACGTGTGTTCCTTGTGTAATGGCTTCACTGAGAGAGCGTGATTGAGTGAGCAGCTCCTGAGTAATTAGCTCATGGCCGAATAACATAGAGAGAGTGTCTTAACGCGTGTTTCCTTTATATATCCATACGAAAGCTTAGTTAGCTGGCAACAATGGATAGATCTTGCTATGCGGAGGTTAGATACACATTGTAGAACGTTTGACAATAACAAAGCTTTAGACGGTTGGAGAATTCCGAATAAGTAGAGCTTATAAATTTCCAAGAACTAGAAAGTTTAGAAAATTCTCGAATCCCGAACATCATAAGTACATTGCATAATCATAAACATGAACATATGAAATACGTTTGAATAAGACACCATTGATATTAGAAAAGAATTTTATAAAAATTAAATTATATTGTATTTTACAATTTCTTCTACGAAGCCATTAATAGAAAGTGAAGATTTGCATGATTTCATGAATACTTTTCTTAATAAAGATAATAATTATTCTTATAAGAATCTGTTGAATGACTGAGAAATATTTTTAATTATTTATTTTAAGGATTTAAAATTTATAATTTAATGTGCAATGTCATTGAGCTTTTTTTACACAGCAAATTTTATTTTTTAATTCACTTTTTAATAACATAATAAAATATATAATTTTTTACTACTATAGAATATTATATGCTATTTGTAATTATAAACCGTAGAAAATTTAAGAATTATAAATTTGTTCTAACTATTAATATAATATAAATACTTGGATAATCAAGTAAACGTATCTAAATTATCAGTATTTGAAATTGTACATAATTATTGATTATTGAAATATATACTTCGATTAAAATAAATCAAATTTGCATAATTTTCACAAGATTAGCACTAAAGAAAGCAACATATTTTAGATATTTGATTCTGAGTTTTGATTTTGAAATATATTTAATTGGTTGATACATTTAATACTTTTAATATATTTACGTAAATATTATATTTATACAAACATTTTTTATACAAAATTTTAATAATGGAAGATATAATAAAGAATATTCTAGTTAAAAACCTGTTACTATAAATGTACTCTAAATAAAAATTATGAAATAAGTATTTATATATTTTAAATTGTATATACATACAAATTTATTTTTTATAATATATATAATAAGAATTGTTTATAATAATATATATGGAAGCATTATTAGTAAAAATAAAATGTAAAAAAAATTATTAAAGCAATATTATATCATTTCCTGGCGCCTAGTTGATACCAAATACATCATGCTTATGAGTCAAGATAATTCTTTTATTATTTTATTTTATACGATAATATGTATACAGTTAAAAAATTAATTTGCATTTGAACCTAATTTAAAATCTTTAGTTTTTATGAAAAATAGTACAAACTATTATCGAGATTGAACTACAATGGAATAGAAGTAATAAAATGAAAATAAAATAGACGAACATATATTATTCATCATAATTACTAGTGTCAAATAATATTCAAATTCATAGTACCCATAAATACAAGAAAATCAATTCGAAATATTGATTAAAAATTTTGTATTAAATGGTCCACACTACAAGTATAGATCAATACAATTAATTATAAAATTTCAATTTCTTCATAACTTATATTTGAAACTTATAAAGCCTATATTATCATTAAAAATCAATATTAAAAAAATATGTTATTGAATTTATATATGCGACAAATCAAATTAAAATTTGTTTTATTAATTATTACAAATATTATTTTAACTTACTCTGTCATTATTATTCAAAGAAAGTGTTTTAATTTTTTTTGATATTGACTCAATAGGCCACGTTGGAGCTAATGAATCAGGAGGATCGCCTGAAAAGTTAGACGAATTTTGAGAGCACGTTTCCATATTATCCACGTTATTTTGAAATCCTAGATCATTCATATTTTGTACAAGACCACCAATGTTTGGTATATTTGATGTTGCACATAAAGTTGGTGGCTCAGTACCAGGAGCTACTTTGTGTCTTGAATAAAACGGTATTTGTCTGCTTGATACGATACCTGAAATTTTACTATTATTAATTATATACTCTAATGCTCAAAATATGCTAATGAATATATTTAGTATATAAAAACTAAAATAATTAAACAATAAAAATACGTTTTCTAAATTATATACATACATTTTCTAAAAATATTTAATTTAAGTCTTAATTAAGTTCATTTTATTAATATTCTTTAATAAATTAATAATAGAAAATAACAATAATGTATCAAAATTTAAAAAATACATAATATTCAAATTATTAAAATCAATAATTATTAATATAATCAATATGTTTGAAATTGAGAGAACCCTTCTCAAGTCGTTAAACATCTGGCAAACCCAAGTTAGACATCTGGAAATAGTCATTATACCAAAAAATTAAAAGTTAATAATACACAAACGCATCCGCTGTTATCAAGTCTAGCCATATTATCGCTTGGATAAGCCAAGCAAGGGCACTTCAGTCAGGGGTCTTCTTGGCTGGAAAGCCACGAAAAGACTACTCTCTCTTATTAAAGGCGCAGCCGCTAGAGGTACTACAAATAGAAAGGCACTCCAAAGGCGATCCAAGTAGAGATACCGAAGCCAGAGGTACTCTGATTGGAGAAGCCAAAGAAATAGGTGTTCCTAAAGTGGACGCCATGGTTAGTGGAATGCATTTAAGGAAGATGAACATAAGACAAACTCACTAGTGGGTCGTCCAGGAAGGAAGAACTCTCTATCACAAGGGACGTCATGGAGGACGGTGCTCTCTCTCAAGTACCCAGTATCAACGAGTGCACTTCAATGGTCAGAGTCGCTACGGAAGGTACATGCAAAGCTTTATACTAAATAGAGATATACTCGTGCCTCAAGCGCACGAAGCAGTTGCAGGCTTACCTACACTAGGTGCCAACAAGCGCGCACACTCTGCTGATCTACTACTGCAGAACTACTACAGAGGAAGAGACACTAAACAAAACAGTACACGTAACAGCTTCATACTAAATAGAGTTTATACAATAGGGTCGAAGGGTACGAAACCGTTGCAAGACTTAAAGGATCCAGTGCCAACGAGCACTTCTCAAGGAGGAGACCATAATGAAGTCACCACCGGGTGGCATACACGAAGAAGTAGCAACAGATTTACAACCTCTTTCTTCTCAGTATAATAATCTACTACCAAGTACATTACGTCAAGAGGATCCGGAGAATTATGACCTCCTACCTCCATATGTAGTGCATGCTAAAACCACGCGGCAATCGCCAAGGAACTGCAAGATCTCAACGGTTCTTATCACCAACTTAGAATCATTATAGTGTAGTTTGTAAAAAGTAAAACGCAATAAACAGCACAAAATGCAGATGTGTTAAATATTGAATTAATGCGCTACCCTTTCCACTTACAAACTTTTTGTCCCAGGCAACTGGTGGTTTTTAGTGTAATTCAAAACAAAATATATTTCTTATTAAATAATAATATTTAAAAAATTTTAATTTTTATTGAGAAATTATTAGTATAAATATATTATTAACATAAATATAATGTTTTATAATAATTTTGAAAGATTTACTTTTTATCGTCGTATTGTAGAAATCATTCTCCTCTCCAAAAACGGGATTATCAATATCATGAGATGCACAACATATATCTCTTGCTATTTCTAATGTATCTTGTAAAATAGTTGCACCCAATATATGTGGTGTAGGATTTAAAGCAGAAGGAACTACAGATTTTTCTCTATGTTCTGTTCCTACCGAGCTTAAAGATTCTCTACTTTTTGGCCTTTTACTATAATTGTAAAAATAATTATATTAAAATATAATAAATTTGAATAATTATTTTAATTAATTATGTTAAAAAATATTTTAAAATATAAAATATATGTTTGGAGGGGGCGTAATTCTAAATTTAAACCAAATAAAATAAAAATATCTCTGGAATAAAATTATATTTATATAACAATAAATGTATATAAGATAAATTTATGAATATAATAAAATTGTAGTACATTTGAAATACATGATCATAATAAAATATAAATATATTATTTAAATGTAACATATAAAATATTGTAAACCGATAATTCATTATATAATCCAATTAACGTCTTATATTTTCATTAATAAATGCTAGATTACATATCTGTTTTAAGAAATGCTCTTAAGTAAATACAAATAAGTTTTCAATTTATAATTGCATAAATAAATTTTATAAATGAATTAATATGAATTCAATTGACTTACTGTTTATAAATATATAAAATAAGAATTAAAATGATTACTCCGAGTAGTCCAAGAACAACACCAAAAACTGCTACTAAGAGAACACTACTGCCCAGCCAAGCGGGGATCCCTCTAGCTGCGAATGTTGTTGATTCAGTTTTGGGTAAGTGAACTATCACTGGTATCATGCTTGATCTATAATATAAATACATATTACGCTCAAATTATTGCTATACATTACATAAAACTGAAACATATCTTTGTTAAGAATTTGGGTTTTATGAATATTTAAAGGAATATTACAGACTGTTCAATTAAATATTACCTTGGCGGTTTACCAGTGTCAGAGGCAATGGCAACTAATCGTGCAATCGTGCCATTAAATGAACCCAGAAATCGTAACACTAATTCTCCATTATCATGTATTTCAAAAGATCTAAATATATAATTTTTAATAAATAATCATTGGAATATACATTTAAAATTGTTATAAACAAAATATTTATATTACCTTGAATCAGGTCCTCTTAAAGCCAATGAAATTTTATCCCCTCTATCACCATCTGCAACTTCAACCTTACCTGTTAATAATAATAAAAATATTCATTTTTAAAAAAATATAAAAACAGATAAATTTGAAAATGAAGATATAATTATTTATTGAAGAGTTAATTGATTTTATATAAATAAACTATTGAGTATTGTTACGGATCGAAAAGTTGAAAAGCGAAATACAAAAGTGGGAGAGGTATGAGCGCGCGATTCAGTTATTTAAATAAAACAATGTCCAACGAACCTTCCAGGTTATGCCCTATTGACGTCACGACCAATATCGCCATAGCAACAAACACCGGCGTTTAAAGACTAGCACGATAATATTTAAGGACTGTGATTCATGCGCAACAGTCAGTTTTTGCCTCAGTCTAGTAACAATTACACAGTCATTATAACAAGCACACTATTAATCTTCAAGCTTCTTTCTACAGTTATCACTCACTGTAGCGGTATACATACGTTATAATCAAATAAGTAAACAATCTAACAAACAAATAGTGGCGCTACATTATCAAAATCCGTTAACTAAACTTAAACTAATAACGCGCTAGTGCTAACATAAAAACAAGAGTGAAAATATTGAAATCATACTACACATATTAACGGATCACACCGACGACTAAGCAGCAAACCGGTCCTCTTTAGAAAGCTTCGATACAACAGAAGCAGCTCTTACGCATCTACACTAAAGCAGTAGCGAGCTACCTTCGCTTAGACGACTTCGGTACAACAGCGGCGGCTCTAACGCATACTACAACAGCGGCGGCTCTAACGCATACTACAACAGCGGCGGCTCTAACGCATACTACAACAGCGGCGGCTCTAACGCATACTACAACAGCGGCGGCTCTAACGCATACTACAACAGCGGCGGCTCTAACGCATACTACAACAGCGGCGGCTCTAACGCATACTACAACAGCGGCGGCTCTAACGCATACTACAACAGCGGCGGCTCTAACGCATACTACAACAGCGGCGGCTCTAACGCATACTACAACAGCGGCGGCTCTAACGCATACTACAACAGCGGCGGCTCTAACGCATACTACAACAGCGGCGGCTCTAACGCATACTACAACAGCGGCGGCTCTAACGCATACTACAACAGCGGCGGCTCTAACGCATACTACAACAGCGGCGGCTCTAACGCATACTACAACAGCGGCGGCTCTAACGCATACTACAACAGCGGCGGCTCTAACGCATACTACAACAGCGGCGGCTCTAACGCATACTACAACAGCGGCGGCTCTAACGCATACTACAACAGCGGCGGCTCTAACGCATACTACAACAGCGGCGGCTCTAACGCATACTACAACAGCGGCGGCTCTAACGCATACTACAACAGCGGCGGCTCTAACGCATACTAGAACAGCGGCGGCTCTAACGCATACTAGAACAGCGGCGGCTCTAACGCATACTACGACAGCAGCGGCTCTGACGCATACTACGACAGCAGCGGCTCTGACGCATACTACAACTGCATCGACTCATCATACTACGGAAAGGATACACACTCCTCAACACGTAACAATTGAAGAAACTTCCTCTATTTTATTCACTCACACCTTCATTCATACAACTTACAATCATTAACTATTTATTATATTTATTATATTTAATAAAAGGAAAGACAATAAACATTAAAGGCAGTATTGAATAATTGCATTATCCCTTTCACTTGCCAGCAACACCTACACCCAACATCAAACGGAGGTTTTTTAATCTGATCCTAGACAAGTATTATTAATTAAAGTATTAGATATAATGTATTGGTATTAAACTAATGCAAAATGATAGAATAAATGTATGAATTGGAGTGTAAAATACAATACATTGGTAAAAATATTATCCAAATATAAATAATCGAAATATATATAGTAAACTCGAGTTAGATACGTATCATGAATAAAAAAGCATTTTTCTTTAGATTAAAATTATGGTCTTACCAATTATAGAGCCTTCTCTAATAGTTCTAACATGGAATTCATACTTAGGGTGTCGAAATCTGGGTTCCCACTCATTAACATCTTCTACAGAAACATTAATCCTTGCTGTATCATTCTACAATAATTATTATTTATTTATTATATTCATAATTTCAATATTTAACTAAATAGTTTTGAAAATTATTTAATACAAAAAATGTAGCAGCCAAAATCTATAAAATATTTCTATCTATAGTTCATACTAAATTATTATGTATAATAATTGTTAATAATAATTCTACATATACATTTTTAAACGTTTTCTTAATTTTAATTTAATTTTCAAAAAATGGAATTACAATGAAGTTTAATATGCTAATATTAATACATAGTGTACTATACTAAATACGAAAGTTTATTATGCATATCTAATAATTTAAATAGTGAAATATCGAGTGAAACAGTAATGATTATTTTTAGAATTGATTTATAAATTATTTGTATAATCTTAGAATAGTATATAAATCATATTTCTTAGGTTCCTATTAAAATCATTTAATTAATCTTTAATAAATAATTTTGTTAATAAAAATTGCATACATTATACTTACATTATACTTATCCATAACATGAACACGAAAACTATGATAAATTCTTCGTTCATAATCTAAATTACTTTTAAGAATTAATTCACCAGAATTAGTGATAGAAAACTTTTCCAAATCTTCATTGGCTCCTATAAGCCAAAATTTCAAATTCTATAAAATAAACATAAATAATTATAAATTAATTATATTTAAAAATAACGAGGTAATTATATATCACAAACTAAAATAGTTACTGGATCAATTTTATTGACACCTGCTGTAAGAATAATACTCCCTGGTGGTGTATTTTCAGATATACTTGCGTGATAATCTTCAAATATAAATCTTACAGGTAAACGACTTCTTCTAATCTCTAAAATATTTAAATAATTTTTATAATATTTTGTAAGTAAACCTTTATATATTCTTTTGTTTCAATAAAACTACTTACCGTTTATAAAATTATCTTTAATATTACTTTCTCTAGAAACTAGAATAGTTGCTAAGGCATAACGGTCTGGATTATCTATTTGTACAGCCTATTAAAACATCAATAATACTTTTAATTTTATTCACATGAACTAAATAACAAATTTTAGTTTATGCGTTAATTTTATGGTGAAATCAGACTGTATTATTTGAACATTATTTTAATTTTATTTATTATGCATATAATTTATTTTACAATCATAATCACATACTTTTATTACTAATATAGCAGAAGAAATTAGTTCATGATCTTGTAAAGGACGAGTTACTATAATATCTGCAGTTTCAGAATTCAAGGCGAGAAAGGATAAAATATTTCCCTGTATAGAATATTTTATTTGGGCACTTATTCCTGTATCTTGATCTATGGCTTTGATAGGTTCTGGATCAACTTGTAAAATTTTTCTCTATCAGAAAATTAAAATGTAAACTTAGTTTGATTATAATTATATTTAGAAAACAGTATTATTTTTGTAGTATCAGTATAATATATATATTTGTAGATTAATCTCAAATGAAGATATCTTTTTATTATTTAATGTGTCTTATAAATTATTAATTATGTATAGTTTCACTTACTGATTTTAATTGTAAAGGAATAATAACTTTGTACTGATCATTCAAGAAAATAGGATTTTGATCATCTGCATCAATAATATTTACATAAAGATTAGTAATGGACGATTGAGGTGGATTTCCTTGATCCTAATAATATATTTAAATTTTGAATATTAAATTAAATCCTTATTATTCTTACTTAGTTAAAATATCATACTTACTTGGGCACGAATTTGCACTGAAAAGTTATGAATATTTTCATAATCAAGGGGTTTTCGTAGAACCAATGTTCCTTCCAACGCATTAGCAAATATAAAAAAATCCTATATTATATTAAATTTTATTTAATTATAATAACAGAATAGAATATTATATTTATTTATAATTTTGATTTCTTTCTTCTCGTTGTATAACATACAAATGAAATTTGTAAAATGATTGAATTGTATACGGTAATGGAATTATAAATAAAAAAAAACTAATTTAATATTAGTAGTTTATTTATATAAAAAATATATTAAAAAATTTGTAAAATGTTGATACTATATACCATTCCTTTTATTCCAATTTATTAATAATTACACTGTATATTAAATTTAAATTGTGATCTATATTTTAATTATATCGTGAAAAAATAATTTAGATTGTGATCATACAATATTATATATTTCTTCGAATTTTTCATAAAAGTAATTGTTATTGGCAATATGTCATATATTTATGTATATAATATAACAAATACTAACTGCATGAGGACCAGGAAGAATAGAATATTGGACTGTTGAATAAGATCCAGGTTGATCAGAATCAATTGCTTTGACACCTTGTAAAACCCTAGTGCCTACTACTGTTACCTGTAGAGTGTTTTAAAAACTTTTAAAAATACTTATTGAAATTTAATTTTAAATCTAAATTAATTTACTATTTGTTATTTATTATATATGATTTATTATTTAAAAATATCTTATTACCTCTGAGATATTTAACACATATGGTGCGTTAATAAATTCTGGGACATTGTCATTGGCATCAGTTACACGAATATTGATTGGAATTACGTATCCCTATGTTAGATTAAATTATATTATATAAATTTATATTTCTTTCAAAACATTTGTATAAATATAAAAATTGTTGTAATTCTACGATCACTAATTATACAGTTGAAAATAGTTAATTTCGTACTTAAACCATCATCTTCATACTGTAAATTATACTTTAAATTACATTCACAAAGATTTTTTAAAAGTTTATAATTTATAAAAATAAAGAACTTAAGAATAAGTGAAGTACTCAGTACAAAATTATAATTGTATTTCAAAAAATAAAATAAAATTGAAAAAATATGAACAATGCATACTGGTTCTAAAGTGTGCTTTCTTTCGCAAATAGCATTTATGTATACACTGGCTGGTCCTTTTATTCCTTCCTTATCAAGTGGTCGCATAAGTGTTAGATTCCGTGAGTTTGGTATAAAAATAACTGGACTATCCTGTTCCTGAAGTTTTAAATCGATATTACCTTGAAGACCTGGATCACCAAGGACGCTAAGGACGCCGATTGTATCACCAATTTTAATGTCCTCGTTTACGAATAAACGAGCTCCTGTTTGACCATTTTCTAAAAAACATCTTGTATCTGAGACCACTGAAGTAAAGAAAATATAATTCAATAATAACTATATAACCAATGAACTATAACTTATAAAAATAAATGATGTTATTATAAAGAGGAAAAACGTAATTTTATACTTAGCCACAAATTAATTATTGTTTCTAAATTATTGCACAATGATAAATGTCTGCCATTAGAATGATTAGTGTATTGTGTTCCTTGCTATTTGATTAAAAATGACTAAATGGATGAAGGTCTATAACTCCATGAATACAACCAAAATATGAAATGAATACAATTTGCCGTAAATGTAACAATCGAGGTTTTAGTATGTTGCTTATTTTTAATATTATATTACATAAGTCAATTCACGTAATAAATAGAAGCCAAATTGTAGAGAATAGAAAAAGAAACGTTAAAGAACTGTCTAGGATTAGACTAAAACCTCCCAGTGATGTTTGGTGGGAGGATTGCTGGCATGTGGAAGAGAAAGGCGCATTTATTCAATATTAACACATATCGTATCGTGGCGTTTTTTCTCTTTATTTATTTGCATCTACCCTGACCTAGTGCGCCTGATAGTAAATGGTCACACTGAAAGTAAGAGGTAATAAATCTCTGGTACTTCTTCGTGTATTGCCACGTGATGATAACGTATCCAATATCTATCCTTGCAGCCGGTAATTTCTTGTACACCATCAGCTGTTCGCGGGAGCTTCGCGATCCAATATCTGCCCTTCCAATAAATGCTTATCACGACAGGTGCATTCACACCTTCAGAGCCTGGCGCTCTTGTTTGTTAGTTTACGATTTTATTATTGCTGAGTCTGACTGAAGTATGTTTGTATTTAGTAAACTGATTGACTTTTATACGCGGAATTTTGTGGCAGTTTGAGTAATAACGGGGAAATCTTTGGTGAGCAATAACTGATGCGTACAAAATGTACTCGCCGATCCGACTTGTTTTACCAAGATCGGTTCGAAGGATACCAATTGATGCCGTTGACAACTGGGAGATCACGAGTGTTGTGTGATAGCGATGAAAGTTTACAAGTGAAGGAATATTATAATAATTCAATATAAATATAGCTGGTATATACGCTGTTTATTTTGTTATTTATCCGATTACAGGGCGTGACTAGTATTACTTTTATTAATGATTGAAATGGCTCTTGAGGTGGATTAATGCGTTTGCAGTGGCAAACGTACACTCATTTAATGCAACGTGATGGTTTGAATATGAGCGCAGAATGGCGCAAAGTTTGATTCGTCGACATTCGCACTGTTTGTGAGATCACGTGCGTAGTTGAGGTTATGGTTTATAGTGTAGCGTGACACATGTAATTGTTGTTACATGAGAATATACTCGTATCATCGCAAGTGTACCTTATCCTGATATTGGCGTACTGCAATAGATTCAGATGGAAGTAAGAGTTTGAAGGGCTTTTACCTCGTGAAGGATACTGCTAAGTGTTGCGTCTGCTATGAGCGTTGAATGGCACGTTGTGTAGATTCATAAGCCTCAGAATTTGAACTAAGGTGAGATAAGGCCGGCAAATCTCGGATCAGTTGACGCGATCTTGACGACGAGTTTGGGCTTATTCCGCACTGTCTCTCTGGTGAGAGTCTTTTCGTCTTTGATTGCTTGTCGATGACGTAAATTCTGAATCTTAAGCTTTAGTTGATTATTGTAGTAGTGATACTACTTACGAAGACTGTATGGTAGACTTAGTAGAAGAACTTTCAGGTTCCTTCTTCAAGAGGACTGCCACTGGACACTTCTCTTCGGACTTCAATAAGGGAATACGTCTCTCGCTTACTGGACTTGTAACGATAGTTACTTTGAACTACGTTAATAGGAGACTTCCAGTTCTTATTTGAATAAGTACTGTATCGAGAGTGTTTGAATATTGAAAAATGCGCCCCTTAAATACATTTGCTGTTAATGAACTTCACTTGAACCCCTTCCCTTATCTTTCGTCCAATCAGAGACTCCTTCCTTATAGATGTGAGCGCAGCGCCTCTTGTGGCTTCATAGTTAATTAAGGGCGTAGTCGTCTCTTGGTCTTCACGGCAAGAAGAGTTCTCGTTGCCGCTGACGCACCTGGCGACAGCATGACAACTTGTTGACAGCGGAAGGGGGGGGGGGGGGGGGGGGGAGTGCG